GTGAAGCGAAAGGTACTACGGGCGAATAGGCATATTTAGCATATCGGTTGAGCTGTTTATTGGGTCAGTTTTTGTTATGTACTAGTCGAGAATTTAAAAGTCCTGACGCAAGAAAGACGGAAATCAGAAGACCACTAGGTTTGTAATGATACTTCTATTTTCCAAACACAAGGAGAATCAATATCACACAAGTGTGTGAGAGCAAAATATGAATGTCCGAACAAGTGTGTGAACGAATATTCAAAATGAACAAATCAATAGACAGTCTTAACATGATTGCCTAATTATAATGGAATATCGATCCATATATACATAGCAAAATATATCAGACTGTCAAACAAACACACATATTATATGGATACATATCAGTATTACTATACCCACGTATAACTGCATTCGGTCATATCAACTGTTAACGCGATCTCATATCAATTGGTAAGTAGGTCCATAACACTTATAATCTAGCATTTTGTGTTTTTAGTGGCATCTTTAACGAAATTCTACTCGTTTTAACGTTTCCTAGTATTCGTTCCACTTTTTTGCATGTACATTCGTGTTTAAAAGTGGCTAATTTTAACATTCATATAATGTATGCTTGGCTGACATCAATGTCCAAGGCTTTACAGAGATTTCTATTATGCATGTGTATACATTACCAGTGAACATCAAACCCCCGATGAGAACAGAAGTCCTGAAGGCAATCAAGGTGCTAAAAGATGGAAAAACAGCAGGACCAGACGGAATCCCAGCAGAAGCACTGAAAATGGACCCAGAGACAACAGCGGACTTGATGACACCACTACTGGAGAAGGTGTGGAAAGAGGGAAATGTACCCGAGGATTGGAAAAAAGGATACTTATTCAAACTACCAAAGAAAGGAGACTTGAGTCGATGCAAGAAGTGGCGCGGAATTATGCTCCTGTTCATCCCAAGCAAAATACTAATCCGCATCACCCTAGAGAGAATCAAACAAGCCCTCGATGAAAAGCTTCGGCCAGAATAGGCTGGAGAAACAATTGATGTATTGATCAAATCGGCAATGAGGAAACAGGCATAAAATAGACTCACACAAAAAACTTGGAGGATCTGGACTTCGCCGATGATTTATGCCTGATTTCCCACAAACTGGAAGATATGCAAGTGAAAAGCAACAAGTTGGCAGAAGAAGCATCAAAGATAGGACTTCACTTCAAGTGGACATAGGGAAAACAGAGGTGATAAAGATTCCTGGCCAACAGCAACAACAACAACAGACAACAATCAGCATATATGGTAGAAATCTGAAAGAAGCAACCTCCTTTACCTACCCACCTACCTGGGAAGCATCGTTTCAACTACAGGCGGAAGGAACTGACGAGGATATCAAAGCAAGGATTGGGAAAGTAAGGCAAGTTTTCATTACTCCGAAGTCTGTGTGGAGGTCAACAGCAATCAGAATCAAAAATAAGATCCGGATCTTCAACTCCAATGTGAGGTCAGTGCTACTATACGGATCAGAGACTTGCACTGCGCGTCATAAAGAGAACCTCACACAAACTACAGACCTTCATCAACAGCTGTCTTCGCTCAATACTGCTCAAGATCAGATGGCCAGAAAAGATCAGCAACAGGGATCTCTGGCAATGAGCGAACCACCCAGGAACCGATTGTGAAACAAATAGTCAGGAAGAAATTGAGGTGGATTGGCCATATTCTGAGGAAACCATCAAATGACATGACTAGACAAGCCATTGCTCGAGTGGAACCCGAAAGGGAAGCGGCGAGTTGGTCGTCAATGCGATGGTGACTTGGAGGAGGTCATGTGAAGAGGAGATGAAAGCATGTGGGCAGACTTGGAGCCAGGTGAAAATTCTAGCAGGAAACCGAACACAATGGAGACGCGCGGCTGAAGCCGTATGTTCCTCTAGGAATTAAATGAAATAATAATAATAATATTACACAACAATAATGAGTTTTGTTATCGTAATATATATATAAATTGGTGTATGTTTCAAGAATAAGTATAATATTACTATTACTATGTCCGTGAGCTTATCGAATACCTTCACGTTGTGGAAAAGAAAAGGAGTGCTAATTGTCTGAGATTCACTTGCCTCTTAAAATATTTACAAAGAGCATGTGTTTCAGTTGAAAGGAACAGAACAGTATCGTCGTCGTTCTTCACATGTGAATAGCGTTGCATGTCAACAGCAGCCTAATTATTGACTACAGGACAGCAAGACCACGGTAAGTAAAGCCCTTAAGTGTGTTTCAGCGATTTCAAATAAAACTCTAGGGTTATTGAAGGTTTCTTATGTTGTTGTGTCAGTTGATTGGAGCAAAGTGAAAGTTTTAATTCGTTGAAGTCTCACTTGTAAAATGCTCCAGTAAAATTAAATCTTAATATAACTGCATAATATGAAGTTAATTGGTGGATGATAACTAGCAGTGGAATCCATCAGGACGCGAATTTCGTCCCATTTGGGACTTGTCCACTGGACGGATGTACCTACATTCCCAGTGAGTGAGTGGTGGCATTCCCACTGAGGCTCGAACCCAGTAACCGTAATTTGAAATGCCAAAGCGTTATCCACAGGTCACTTGGGTCACGACAGCCACCTCTTCTGCAGTGGGTATCAGTTATTATTTAATTCAATTTGAACTTCCCCGTTTGATAGATTGAACCAAAGTGCTCGGTCTCAAGTTGACATGTCAGCCCCTTGTGTGCAGATGCTTCGACGATGTCTGATTATTTATCTTGGAGTAAATTGGTGGTTGGGGAATGCAGGTGCATCCAGCCGATGGACGACTTCCAAGTATGAGGAGATGCACATCCTGGATTCTACACCGCTAGTCACCATCTACCAATTTACTTCAAATTAAATGATCAGAAATCGTCAAAGCATATGCACAAGGAGCCGACATGTCAACTTGAGGTCGGGCACTTTGGTTCGATCAATCGACGGGAAGATCTAAAAAAAATCAATTAACTCCTAATGACGTTAGAATTTAACTTGAATGTATTACGCTAAATAGTAAACAGTGAGTGATTAGATAAAACTACTCTAATTGATCAACTTTTGAATAAATACGTACAATATTTCATTCTCAACGCAAAGATAATAAGTTCTTCGGACTTATGTGAAGCTATCGAGGGTAAATTACCAACCATGGCCAAGTTGAACTTTAAGCACCCTAACTACCAATCAGCGAATGACCTTGAATGGTCCAATCAGTTTCATCCACGTCAGTTGATGGTTCTATTCCGCTAAAATTCGAGTCAAATGCCTGCTCTAACGCAGTCGCGCTTACAGTTTGGTGAAGATAAGGCTTTCAAGTATTGCTGCTTAGGAAGGAAAGGATTTGTTCATGTGAAGGTGTCGTGAGTATAAAAAGCTTCAGCAGGTTGGTTGATGTATATGTGCATCGTTGTGCAGTTTGTTTGTGATGAGTTAGTACAGCACTGCAGAGATATGGCGTCATGGAGAAGTGGGAGAGTTTCTTCCTTATTGGTAGGGCAGGTGTTGTCGTACATATGAATGAAACTGTCTTATTTAAGAAAAAATGCAAATGTTGTTGAGAAGGAACGAATAATGTTTGGGTGATTGGTTTATAAGATACCTCTCTACGGAAAGGATTCGTTTAGAGGATAGCACATGAAAAGTCGAGTACTTCACTACCAATTATCACTCGACCGCTGAAACAGGGATCTACAATACACACAGATGAGTCGAAAGTTTATAGCTCATTGTCATCCCTTGGATATATTCACCACAAAGTCAACCATTCTAATGATCTTGTAGATCCCACTATAGGGACACACACCAGTTCGACGGAAGGCTTTCAGGGAAGGTTAAACAATATGATTAGGGCCACTAATGGTTCTCAAAAGGATGTCATTTATAGTCATTTAGATGAATTTAAAGCAATTAGTTCCCTGTATGAATTTCGACAACACAATAAGAAGACGTAGTTTATCTGAAACGTGTAATGTATTGCGCAACACATTTCGGACATTCTGATCACACATGTACATGTCATACACAGTTTTTATAGAAGGCAAGAATGATTACAATACAGGTCAAATGGTGTACAGGTCAAGGTCACAAATAATGGGTGGGGAGACGCATATTATAGAGACGGGTCACAAGGTTGATTTCAACAACGCTTTTAAGCCGATATATAAAACAAGGTTGGGCCACATACTTAAATTCATTGAAGCCTTAGCCATAAAAAGACTTAAACCTGCCTTATGCATCCTGAAGCTATTTGTTATCACCTTAAACCTGCCTTGTTAATCCAAGCTAGAACCAAGGACCAATTTACTTCATAATATTTTCAACCCCTTCTTTGCCTTGTTTTTCTCTTTCTCACCCACACCTTTTGCGTCTCCCCACCTATCCATTATTTGTGACACCTTGACCTGTACACAATCTGACCTGTATTGTAATGATTCGTGCATGTCTTCTTGCCTTCTATAAAAACTGTGTATGACATGTACGTGTGTAATCAGAATGTCCGAGATGTGTTGGGCCAACACATTACACGTTTCAGATAAACTACGCCTTCTTATTGTGTTGTTGAAATTTAGATGAATAAATGTATTGGATATGGTGTAACTTTCAAATTGATACTCCTTTGCTAAACTGGGAGTCATTCTTATCACACGTGAGAGAAAGGTATCCTCTGTAACAGTTTTACACAGTTTTTATTCATTTTTTTCATTGATATATGTATTCCATATTCAAAAGTGCCTCCTTCATTTGATTGGTGGCTTCAGGGTCATTTGTTGATTGGTAGTTACTGGTGCTTAAAGTTTAAATTTCCTCAACCCATCAAAAAATAATCGTAATTAGCATTAATGACTTGAGATCAATTGAAAAGATTTTTCAAAATGTGCGCCTACTTTTGTTTATGACTGATGGCTCATTAAAACAAATTATTTCAACCTTCTCATGTGTGTTATCCCCAAACAGTAAAAATGCAAGATAATTTGAAAATATGTATTAAAAACCGCCTAAAACAAAGTATAAAATTGTGTAAAAGTTAACTGTAAAGTCAAGTTTTCGCATATCATTCCATAGAAGATACGTCATTGACTTGAAATGAACAAGCGGGGAATTTCGGTTTCTGTAAGAGTCTAATGCCAACAAAGATGAGATAGATCTCCACACATGTACACTGACTTCAGTTTATAAAAACTCTTCACTCTCATAAATATCCAGTCTACCAACAGAATGACGATTAGGATAATTATGATGTCGGTTATATCTAGAATTGTAATATTGATGTTCATTTGTCTTACCACCTGATTTATTATAGATATTAACTTCAGATCTTCTGTGCTGTGGTGGTATATAATTATCAGGTCTATGCCTTCTACTGTGTTCCATGTATACTGGTAACCTATTTGTCGAAGATGCCTGAGAAAGATTATCATTTGATGTCATAAAAATGCCTAATCCATCTCCAACTGATCGATAAAGTGGTTTGTTCACTGCAAAATGACTTTGGTGTATTAAATTTGGTGAGAGAAGTTTTGTCGATCCAAAATCATCAAGGTGATTTATTCTTGTCCATGAAAGATTTTTAGGATAATTTGAGAATTTTGGTGGATTATATTTCATTTGTGATGATGAATGTGCTGTGATTTGAGTAAACTTTTGTAGACCGTATTCACCTTTGAATAAGTAACGGAAGTACTGAAATTCAAAAAAGAAAAAAATGAATGAAACAAACAATTATATCGTGGAAGTATATGGAAAATGAAATGAAAATTACATAAGCATTCTGCTAAACTAATATTTTTCATAAAAGTTATCTAATTTTTAATAACACAGATGGTTCTTTAATTTAGTTTCTAAGTTGACTGAGGATTGAAATTGTACAATTCTGTTATCTAAACAGTATCCTGAGAGAAGTTTTCCAAGACCTACCTGATGTATAATAGTCTAAGCCTTCTAATATGACATAATATAGGAGAAGTTCAACAGTGCAGATGTTAATTCCTTTCTTGAACAGCTGTTTCGTACCAGTCTGAGACTCTTCAACAGTATTATTTATTATTATTGTTCCGTTGGGTTCTTAGTGGAACATAGGGCTTCAACTGCACGTCTCCACTTGCTTCTGTCTTCTGCTGTACTTTTCACCTGCATCCATGTCAGTCCATACTGTTTCAATTCCTCTTTACACGATCTCCTCCACGTCACTCTCAAACTGATGTCCCACTCCCCGCTTCCCTTTCGGCCTGGTTCCACTCGAGCAATGGCCTGACGCGCGCGCGACGTCACCCAGCGGCGGCCTCCTCAGCGAGTGTCCAATCCATCCATCTCCACTTTCTCCTGCATATTTGTTGGGCGATTGGTTCTTGCTTTGTTTGTTCCCATAATTCCTTGTTGGCGATTCTTTCCGGCCATCTGATCTTCAGTATTGAGCGAAGACAGTTGTTGATAAATGTCTGCAACCTGTTGATTGGAAATATTCTTTGTGACCCGCCCGCCAAGTTTCTGATCCGATTAGAAGAACTGACTGACTTTACGTTTGTATTGAAGATCCGAATTTTGTTGTTGATGGTGAGTAACGAAGATTTCCAGATTGGTTTGAGGTTGATGAATGTGTTTCTCGCTCGCCTTCCCGATTCTCGCTCGATTTGACATCCTCGTCCGTTCCGACTGCTTGTAGTTGAGACAATGCTCCCTAGATAAGTGAGTGAATGAAGTAACCTCTTCCAAATCCCTCTCGTTGATGGTGATTGGCGCTGGGTGTTGCTGCCGTTGTTGTTGTTGTTGGTTGGTTCCTTTCATAACCTCAGTAATAATAATAATATATTTATTCCTATCTGTGTAGGACACACCAGTTGTACAGGCATGGATAAGTATTATTTACATTACATGAATTTGATTTATGGTGAAATTACATGGTTACTGTCCTCTCTGACATCACTTTGTGAGTACAATCTGATAGCTAGTCGTTCAATGGAGCACATTAAGAAATATAGAAATATTGTCTTCGCATTAACAAAAAAAACCCCAAGTATGTGTTGGATGGATTACAAATAATTTGGAAAAAAATAAAGCTTGAAGTCAATTCCTCAGTATAACTTAGTTGTGTGCGGTATCGTATCTTATTCTTGTTTTATATTCAAATTGGGTATTAATTTGAAATGAGTGATTTATTTTTATGATTCTGTTAGCATTTTTATTGTAAGTAGCACTAGAAGTAGATTGTACTGAATGCACATTAATATTGGTTATTGTCAGGCAGTTTTGTTTAACTGCACCCACGTCAGCTAAGACCGCCATTTGTCACACTGCATAGTTGTTCCGTACAAGTAAGTTGATTAACATGTAGAAAGGTATATGTAAGCCATTTTAGATCATTGACAGTGCTTGTATAGGATGCTATACAATACGCGTCCCAAGCTAGCACGAAACAGCTGTCTGATATTTTGCAGGTTCTTTAAATGATAAAAACTCGGGATCAAACCTGGAACCAAACAAATCCCTTCAATGATTTGATAATTTTAGTTATTTATTATTATTATAATCATTTTATACTTTTGCACATTTTTGACTTTATTGTTACTGTAAACACGAAAAGAGTTACTGTTATCAATTTTCTTTACCTAATAACAATAATAATAATAATAATAATATTTACTTTATTCCAATAAAACAGTACTTGTCATACAGAATGGAATTTTCAGCATTTATCACACACAATATTGCATCTAATTTCCTCAAATTATAAATAAAAATTGATCACACAGAAAATTTTCCACATTTACAATAGAGTAGTGTCAAAAACATGCAGCATATATCATGGAAATAACAATAATAATGATAACAGCTAGGGTAATAATAATAAGAATACAAGTGAAAATTTCCGTGGGCTTGTTTCACACAGTATTGTCGATGCGGTATAGAAATCCTAGCATGCTTAAAACTATTGAATATAATGTTCTCTTTACATGATATGGTGAGGGGAAAAACAAAGATTACAGCAGTCATAGAGATAAGCTGGTGTTTGAAATTATGAAAGTAAAACAAAGAAGCAACAGGACCATAAATATTATAGAAATAATAAAAGTAAAACTTGTAGGCAATATAAGGATGGATGGAAGAAATTGTTTATTTACTAGACGAAAAAAGGTTAGTTAATTGTTGCCTGACAGTATTTTCATCACATAAAATACGTGCCAAGTATAGTATAATAGAATTTATATACTTAGACGTGCGAGCATACAGTTTTCTGAAGTTACTCCTTGTTCTACCTGAGGAGATGCAAGGTCAAAGCTGAGGGTAAAGTGGATGCTCCAAGTCAGACAAAATCCCTATAAGGCGTAATGTTGTTTTGAGTAACTTGGATGCATTATTGTACCGAATACTCAGAGTTCTACACTGTGTCATAAGTACTGTTTTGATATAAAACAAATCACTATTATTATTCTATACACTGAAGATTTCATTCCAGAGGAAAACATTTCTTACTATGCCACTTTTTAATTCCTTCGTGATTCAGAGAAATGACCAAATGATTATTAGAGATGTCATTTCTCACCGTATCTCTAACAAACTTTTTGATGGACTGTGTGTATAAAACTCTAAATCGTAACACCAGTCTAAAATTTTAATTTGCAACAACTTTAGGCTGTGTGTAATTCCACCCGCAGATCTTCTGCCGTGATGTACAATACTAGGTAAAATTTTTTAAACTGTAACTGTACATTGAGCCTACTGAGTGTTATCTTGAACCTTTATGACTGTATATCGGAGATCCTTATGACCTTGGGAACCTAAAGTGATACAGTGAATAATTAAGTTATAGTTATTATTTATTATTATTATTATTGTTTCCTTTAGTTCCTAGAGGAACATAAGGCTTCAGCCGCACGTTTCCACTGTGTTCAGTTCTCCGCCAACGTTTTCATTTGGCTTCAAATCTGCCGATATGTTTACATCTCCCTCTTCACATGACCTCCTCCATGTCACCCTCGCACTGACGACCGACTCGCCACTTCCTATTCGAGTTCCACTAGAATGATGGCCTAGCGTGTGATGTCACTTGATTGTTTGTTTTCTCAGAGTATGGTCTCCAATCCACCTCCATTTCTTCCTGCATATTTGTTGCACAATTGATTTCTGCTGGGTTGATTCGTTCATTGCCAGAGATCCTTGTTGCTGATCTTTTCTGGCTGGCCATCTGGTCTTGAGTACTGAGCGAAGACAGCTGTTGATGAAAGTCGGTAGTCTGTTTGAATTGCCCTTCGGAACTCGCCAAGTCTCTGACAGACACACATTCATACCTTATCCTTATCTAAACTGTAATATGCATTTTCTAAAATTTATTTTCACTCATTATTCTCTTCTTCAATTGCATTCTGAGGCTTTAGGTTTCTCAATCGAACTACACTTTAAGTTCAACGAGTAGATAAATATCGTATTAATCAGAATGGATAAAAAAAAGGATAATTGTTCGTTCTTTTAGTAATATTACGAGTTTGTGTGTGTCTGAAAACCTGAGCAGTATAACCAAAAAACTGTACCAAGAGGCATATTATTATATTATTATTCCTTTCGGTTCCGAGTGGAACATGGGGCTTCAGCAACACGTCTCCACTTTGTTCTGTCTTCTGCTATCCTCCTCAGCTGGATTCACAACTGCTTATAACCTCTCATCTCCCCCTCCAACTCACCAGATCTCCTACATCCCACTCACTCGTCGCTTCCCACTGGGATTCCACTCGACCGATGGTAAGGCGTGCGATGTCATTTGACGGTCTCCTCAACGTATGCCTGATCCACCTCCATTTTCTCCTACATATTTATTAAGCAATCGGCTCTTGGTTGATTTGTTCCCACAGTTTATTGTTGCTTACTCTTTTTGGCCGGCTGTCCATTTGATCTTCAGTATGGAGCAAGTGAGAAAGACAGCTGTTGATAAAAGTTTGTAACTTGTTGGAAGTCCTCTTCGTGGCTGACACACAGTGTGAGTTTCTGACCCTTATAAAAGAACTGACTGACTGACTTCACATATGTGTTGAAAATCCGAATCTTAATGTTTATGCTATGGAGTGCAGAATATTTCCAAACTACTTTCAGGTTGATGGAGGTGTATCTCGTCTTTTCGATTCTGGCTGGCTGACTCTGACATCTTCATTCGTACTGTGCGGTGGTTGAGACGATGCTTCCTAGATAAATGAAGGAGATAACCACTGTTAATTCTCTTCCGTTGATGGTGATTTCTGATGATTGTTGATGTTCTTTTCTCTATGTTCACCTTAAATCCTATCTTAGCTGCCAGCTTCTTCAGCCAGTTTGTTGGTTTTCGCGTGTAAGTCTTCGTTTTTATGTGACATTAGCCATATATCATATGCGAAATCCAGATCTTCTAGAGTCCTGTTGTCAATCCAGCGTATTCCTGTCTTCTCGCTCCAACGCACAGTCTGACGCCTAATCCAGTCCACCACAATTGAGAATATCACCGGTGATAATAGACAGGTGGTCCTGCCTCACTCCTGTATGCACTTCGAACGCCTTACTGTGTTTTTTGTTGTGAATACCTAACACCTGGTATTGTCAATATAGCCAGCTGTTGAATAAGGTTGATAAGGACTTGAGGTACGCCGTAGTGTTGAAATACTTTCCAAATTACCTCTCCGTTAACGCTGTCTGTTGAAGGTTTTTTCGAAGTCGATGAAGTTGGGATAAATAGAAGTTTGACTACCATTCTATGCTTTGTTCTGTAATGACGATGGGTGGAGTTTAAATTTGATAAGCACATGATTCGCCTTTCCTGAATCCAGCTTGTTCCAGGTAGTGGGCGGAGTTCTGTATCCAGTGCATTTTTTATTCTCTGCAGGATGATGAAACTTAGAGGTATATGACTTATTGTAAAGTAGACAAGTGACGTCGACAAATTAAAATTTAAAACTATAATTTTATGAAAGAAATGGAACAAATATTTCTTTATTATGCTAAAAATGTATTATATGTATAGTGATTTACCGAATATCTTGTATACTGATGATGACTACGAAAACGTATCAAAGCTAAAAGTAATCCAGTTACTATTCCCAACATAATTGGACCAAATGCAATTAACCAGCCCAACAGTGAGAAATTATCTTGTAATGGATCATTGATTGGTCCACGACTAAATGTTCGACACTGTGAATCCGGTGGTTTTTGTAAGCCCGTAAATGCATACCAGACGTAGATGCTCTTCAAAGTAAAAAGTAGAAAAAAAAATCAAACTGGAGGAGAAGAAGATTTAAAAAAACTTAAAAGAGTTTGATGAATAAATAAGAACAATAATAATAATCTTTTCTTGAAATTAGGTCAGAAGCAGTGTTATGTACTCGTCGCTAAATTATTGTTATGGACTGGTCGAGAATTTAATAGTCCTGACGCAAGAAGGCGGAAATCAGAAGACCACTAGGTTTGCGATGATACTTCTATTTTCCAAACACAAGGAGAATGCAAAAGTGGTATCACACCAAAGTAAGTAAGTTACACAAATTGTGATGCGAAATATATATGAATGTTCCAGACAAAGTGTGTGAACGAATCATTAGACAGTCTTAACATGAATGGCTAATTATAACGAAGTATCGATCCATATATGCATAGCGAAATATAGCAGATATGTCAACAACCACCATATATGGATATATGTCACTAAGCAACGGACTGTTAACAAACACTCATATTATATATAATATAAGGAGAATATACATTGTTAAAGGAGACAAGTTCATACAAGTGAAATGGTCACAGACTAAGCGAGCAAACAGAAAGAGAGATCACCATACACACACACATATATATATATGTGGATACATATCAAGCAGATATCAGTTAAAGAACCACTGGAAACTGGCAAAGAGTATTAGAAAGCTGTTCACCTCTTAGTTTGAGACTTCTCAGTACACTACACACTCGTGACCCAACGGGAATCGAAACCAACACCTTGACGTTACGAGTTAACCTCATCGACCATTCAGCCACTAAGACCGTGGCTCACGGTTCATGAGGTCTAAAGTTTCCCAATTTATTGCTTTACCGTCACAAATTAGCACGAAACAGCTGTCCAGTTCACCACTAGCTGATGTAACTTAGTGATCCAACAGCAAAGTGACACTTGAAGACAATTTCGCTGTTGAGTGTTTATTACACTATAGCACTGTGAAGACTTTCACCAACTGCTGCCTTCGCTACCTCGTTAGTGATGAGCTGATGGTCAAGATGACAAATAACGCGGAACTCTGGCAACCGACTAACGAAGAAACTATTGTACGTGTTGGGTGTAGACTCGATGATCAAAGATTCAGTAATCAACCTCTCTCTCTCTCTCTCCACCTACTTATTCTACTTCTTATAATTGTAACCATTTTCCACCCTATTGTGTGGTTGTGTCTTAATGCATGCAGTACAATTGCTGAACTTTTTTCTAAGCACGTGCAATAGGAATGACTCATTATTCACGTCGTAAATATGGAAAATACTACTACGGCTCAAGTCAAGTGATGAAAAATAATGGAATTATATAAAAGAAGTTAAAAAGTTTTGTGAGTACCTTAATATAAACTGTGGTCGAAACGTGATCATCCGTAAATATTACATATAACACTGTTTGGGTGTGTACTGCTGAAAAGCCCCAAACTAGGACGAAACGGCTGTTCGGTACTTCCAGCTGGTTTTCCAATGGTTCTGTAACTGATATCAGCTCATGATGAAATCCTCCAGCCAATCAAACAGAAACCATACAAAATCATTGATCTGATGCTTACTAGCGACTGGCACTATTCAGGCAGTTGGTTACCTGAGGTTCTAGTGGGAAGCCGTGACCAGTAGGGTAGAGTAGGTTGAAGGTGAACACAGATAACTCAAAAATGTTCAGATCAAGTTCACACTAAACGTTTTGAGATTTTTCTGGATACTAAAAGTGTTTAATCATGCTATTAGTCTTGGATAGTTTAGAGAAAGTCAGGAAGAAAGATCTAGTTCACATACATATTGGCAATCCTCAGCAAGATGTATCTTCAGTAACGGTGAAACTGGTACTCAGTCAAAGTGTCGAATTTAAATCATCCTGCGCTATTAGCACAGAAGTTATCAGAAACCTATTCGGGTTGATATCGTCTCGACTACCAGTACCACGTTGCGTAAGACACTTCTTCACGTGTAAGCATGTATGTCTGTGTCAGCTTCAGCTTTGCATAGAAGTCAAGAATCAATCCCCCGATAGAGAACACAAGACTGATGTCAATGAGGCTTTCAAGTCATTTACCACATACCACCAAATCTTAACTTCACCTTAAGAGTTCGTCTACTACATGTTGCTGAGACTGGCTGTTGGGATCCACATTACGAAACCTAACTTATGTGTCTGAAAGAAGCTGGTTTAGACACTTTTCTTACCTTCGAATGATTCTCAACTTTTTGTAGAAACTTCTTTAATTTTATTCGACATTCTATATACTGTTATATTATTATTGTAATTTATGCATGTTTAATGATCTGTAATTCCTTGATTGGACACTAGTAACTAGTGTTATGCGTCTAGTCTTTTCTTTGGTGCAGACTGAATTCCATCAGTCAGGTTTGCAATGTGGCCACCATTCTAGGTAGCTCGCCATCACGGTGCACTCTGAACTGTTATTAATAGACGGTTGGAGGCAATCGGCCGTAGGAAGCCTTGGACCTAGGTTTCGTGCTACTTGGTACTCACAGTCAGCAAGGCGTATCTGCAACCTTGAAGGAACTCATATCCCTTCTGGGATTGAAACCTGTGTCACCCAGTGCTGCCGTCAGAGACATTACCACTGAGCTATTCGGGCTCGCACCAAAGAAGGGACTAACATATCAGACTAGTTACTACTGTCCAATCAATGTATTCGCTACAGTCCTACAGGAAGTCAATCGCGGGCCTAGAATGGTGGTCTCATTGCAAACCTGACTGATGGAATTCAGTCTGCACCAAAGAAAGGACTAGACTCTTAACACTAGTTACCAGTGTCCAACCATAGTGTCCAATACAGTCTTACAGGAGGTCAATCATGAGTCCGAATAGCTCAGTAGTAACGTCTCTGACTGCACTACTGGGTGACGCGGATTCGAATCTCAGAAGGGATATGAGTTCCTTCAAGGTTGCAGATACGCCTTGCTGACTGTTGAGTGACAAGTAGCACGAAACCTAGGTCCAAGACTTCCTGTGGCAGATTGCCTCTAACCATCTAATATCATAGAACTGTAATTCCACTGATTTTACTAACAAATCGATATTATTTAAAAACACCAGTGCTGTTATTGACTACTATTCTAGAATATTCCATGTATATAAGCATATATATGTATATAATTGTAGAGCCAGAAGAGGAAATTATCGTACAAGATATTCTTTGCTCAATTATTCTGTTTTTTTTATAGATTTCTGAAAATTATCTGTAGCAATCTGCTACGATATAAATTCTCTATGAAAGTCATATTATTGAAAGTGAAATCATGACTGATACACGTCTATGAGAATTTAACATTAGAAACTATATTAGTGGTTGTGTCATAGTAAGCGATTACTGAATTTAGTGTTGTCTCTTGAGGAAATATGAATGTATGGTGCTCCTTAAATCAAAATGATTGGCAAATGATTTCAGTTACTTAAATTAGCATTGCATATCCTTAGTTCATATGTATACTTAGCTCAAAAAACTTCCATAAGAAATTGATAAGGACTTGGAGTGTAAAAATTACAATCATAATAGCAATACTTACTCCAGAGAAAGTAAAAAGTATCGCATAAATGCATATTACACAGGTTTTCAACAATGGGGTTTCAAATTTTGTACCTTTTGACTGGGCTGTAAATATTCAAACAAAAGTTAACATTACTGATTAAACGATAGAAATATAATAATAATTATATTATAATACGAATAATAAAAAGTAATAATGAATGTAAGTTATATAAACAAATCCTATCGGGATATTAGAGAGAAAACAAGAATTTTGGTGGCAAATAAATCCTGATCACATTGAAGAAGGGAATCAGTCATTCTCATTATAATAAAGGTTGTTTTTTTATATTTCCCAATGAATGAAAAACAAAACGATATTATTAATAATAATAATAATTTACTCGATTCCAAAAACAGTACTTATAATACAGAATGGAATTCTCAGCATTTGTCACAATATTGCATCTGATTTACTCAAAATATAAATAAAATTAAGAATTAAAACAGAAGTAACCAGAGGAATTTTTCCACGTTTACGATATAAAGTCAAAAATATTCGAAGCACGAATTGAAATCATTAAATATAACCGTAATGATGATAACAGTAACAGGGGGTTTGTTTCAAACAGTATTGTCGATTCAGTTTGAAAATTTTAGCTTGTTACTATAGAGTATTGAGTCTAATATTCTGTTGATGTAGTATGGTGAGGGGAAATACAAGATTAACAGTGGTAACACATCTTAAACAATGTTCACACTTATGAAAAATAAATAAATAAAAACAAAAAATTAAGAGGATTATAAATATAAGAAATACAATAACAATAAAAATTGGTACTGTAAGGGAGGAAGAAATGGTTTATTTAGTAGTGCAAAGAAGGTTAGTTAGTTCATGCCTGACACCATTTTCATCACATAAAGTACGTGCTAAATATGGTATAGTGGAATTTTTATACTTAGATGTACGTGCATAAAGTCTTCTAAAAGACTTCTTGTTTTATTTGAGGAGACACAAGGTTGGAGCTGCGGTAGAGTGGGTGCTCAGAGTCTGACAAAATTCTTTTACCAAATTTGCTGCATGACATCAAGTGCCTTTCAGTGACAATGTCAACGATATGGCCCAATGGGATACCACTCGTCCTACTGACAGTCATCAGAGTTCTACGAAGTATGACATAGTCTTTTTTAAGCAATCCAGGAAACAATAAGGGTGAACAATAAAGAAGAAAATGTAAAATACGCGAGTTGACAAACTGTAAGAGGAGGGGTTGGGTTATTCCTGAGTGCCTCAACTTCTTAATGTAAAAAGTCAGACGAAATATTCTTTTAGAAATCGCTAAGACATGGGAAGACCAGGATAGGTCAGAAGAAAGAATTAATCCAAGATACTTAACTTCAGACTTGATTTCTATATCAGTATCATCAATTTTGCAACGGTCATAGAAACCAACAGCTTCATTTAACTTTCGTTTACATCGGAAACTGAAATTAACGGTCTGACATTTGGAAGAATTTAGTTTAAGGCCGTTACACGAAGACCATTTGCCAATTCCTGATAGAAAGCTGTTCATCTTAGCACAGTCAAGCTGGAGTTAACAGACGTTGAAATAGTTAGATCATCGGCATACTTAACAAAGTTCATTTCATCAAAGTGAGGCAAATCATGCAAGAAGAAAGAAAACAGAAAAGGAGAAAGGAAAGCGCCTTGAGGGACACCAGCCTCAACAAGCAAATAGGTGGACGACTTTCCCTGACATACAGTGTACTGCTTTCTTCCTGAAAAATAAGAATGCAGCCATTTGACAACCCAACAGTCAGTTTGAGTTTCAGCAAGCTTGTTTATCAAAATGTCCCTAGGTACTGAGTCGAAATTAGATGTGTAATATAGGAAGGTGCAGCGAACAAATTTAGCCCCCTTGTCTAAGCTGGTACAAGACTGCAACTGCATCTAAAGTAATTCTACTGTGTTTATAAGCGAATTGTTTGGGATCTCTAAAGGCTTTAAGTGAAGGTTGAAGTTTAAGTAAGGTAACTTTTCCATAGCTTTTAGAAAAGGAGGCGTAATAGCAATAGGTCTAAATTTAAAACATGTTCCAGTAGACTATTAGGGATAGGTACAATTTTGATGTCCTTCCAAACGGCTGGCACGACATTTCTGGAAAAAGATTCGTTAAATATGTCCATGAGAGGATAACACAGGATGTCTGGACATTTTTTAAGAATAACACTAAGCAAACCGTCTGGGCCCAGGCTACAAGAAGGGTTCAGAGACTGGAGACATTTTTGAACATCATTTGTATTGAAACCAGGGAAGCAGGTTTCATTAACACTTGTAACACTAGAAAGTTTGGCATTTGTGGGAGAATATATGAAAGACTTGTTTAGTGTGCAAACATCAAAGGAATAAGGAATACTATTCATCTGCTTAGCACCAGTGATTTCTTACTGTTTTTACTGACGTTTCTCTATTTATTGCTGCTGCTAATAGCTTTATCAAAGTATTATTAAACCAGAATTTACAAAATCTCAGCTTATATATAACAACTTAATCATCGTTCCTCAGCATGGGGGCATTTCCGCGTTGTCAATTTGGCTAGTTGGTAAAGGTAACAAAATCAAGTGTAGACTGTTGGATTTGATCAGTGTGTAAAATTGTAAAAGTAGTGCGTATTTACATAGTGAACTTGCTTATCACATTCGTGTTGATTTTGTCACTTCATAGGGAGGTGGGTGTTTTAACCAGGTCAAATTCTGTTTTAGCCCATCATTCCTATTCAGCTCAAACAATTTGGATTCCATTTGATATGAAGTGCTTCTGATGATATTAGGCATTCCTTGTGATTTCTGAAATTTCTCTGGATGATGATTTCAATATTGTCAAAATCAATTTTGTGGCCTAATTCTATAGCGTATAGAGGACCTATGGCTGGTGATTTTCAAGCTTTTCTGGTTCAACTGGATTTTGCAGTGGTCGAACAGATGCTCTACGGTGTTCATTTCTTCTGATTTTGATTTCTCTCTGGCGATGTTTGTCCGATGTAGATCGCATCACATTCCAAGCATTTTATTTTATAGACACAATTAGATGGAGAATCTTTATGGATTTGGTCTTTTTTATATGGACAAGGTTGTTTCTCTGTGTGTCTGATGTTTTGAAGAAAACTCTGTTGTCGAGCTTATTGAGTACTTTTCTGATATCGTCTGACATCTCCGGTCTACATGGAATGACCACTGTTGAGGTTCGTGTTTTCAGTCATACATCATACTTTCTAAGCTAAGATGATCTTTTCACGAACAACTGAAGGGGGGATATTCGAATGAAAATTCATCTCAATGTTTTGATTACCCCAGTTACTTACAACCGTCAATCATGGTCAAACAGAAACCACCGTCGATTGCAGTTGAAATCAAAAATTACTTGAAGGAGATACTGAACTACATTTCGTAAAACGTATTATACAATAGAGACAGTGAACACACCTACACTGCAATACACATCTTTTAGGGATGCTCAAAAAAAGTTTCCTCCTGTGTCATGATTATGGAAGTCGCAGTGTGCTGCATTGCAGCATTAAAATCTTAAAAATCTTCGTAAGTAAACGTCTACTATTGTGGTGGTGTGATGTAGACAATATGTGCCAACAGATTGCTATTCTCACATGTTCCCACAGTTCACTTCGTCATTAACAACAGAACACGATATATCATCTATTTGAACATTCTATTTCATGTTGTTTGATGTAAATTGAAATTACGCGCTCGGTAACTGGTTAACGAATATAAACTATAAATATATAAACGGCGGTTTGATTAGTGAAAAATACACCCTGGCTTCCGTGTCTTGCCTTATGTTGTTACACTATTATATGTATATGTGCGTGTGTTCTGAATAGCTTCTGGCATGGTCACTGATCTAAATATTGAATGATCAATTTTGAAGAACCTTGCCACATTAAGGGCATACCATGCTGATACTTACCAACAAGTGAGAAACTGCACCTAACTAAGAATTTAAATACACTTCACTTTTCTAAGCTTTCAATTTACAAGATATTCTACGCTGAGTCATGTAGAAAGAGTATGAACAAGGTCAAATACAAGCTAAAATTACACATAATCTTTTCAGTCGAATACCGAATACAAAGGGGATACTTACATTCTGAATGAAAAATCGAAATTAATGATAAGTGATCAATTATTCTGATGTCAAAACAGAATTTTGGCACATGGTGTTAGAGTAATAATAACACTTGTAGTTTCATTTGATAAAACGCATATCTCTGATAGCGGTGTCGCATCATTCCTATTGCATGTGTTAGTGTAAGTTCATTCTTTAGTGTAGTTGTGTGTTAGTACATGCATTAGAACTACAGAGTTTCTCTCCAAGCTATTAGTGTTTAGCAAAAATAATTAGTTCTTTTATCTTCCCTATTTTTAATTTACGGTAACACACTACCTGGTATCTCTGCTTAGCCAAATTATGTACACCTTATCTTCATTGGACCATTAGCACAGATCTTACTTGTTGTGCTGTAACGATACACGACAAGATTCAGGCAACAGATATTTATAGATTTTTATGGCATTATTATAAGCGTATTTTTAGCAGAGATGCAACCTCTTCTGATTGGTTGCTTTAACCGTTTCTTAGAAAGTTAAGTCATATATCTGCAAATTGTATTCGCACACGTTAACTCCGCTGTGATTGGTTGGTGATTTTCTCAAGGTTAAACTTTGTTATTGTTTTTTCTCATGACCCTGATTCGAGACGTGAACATTTGCGTAAATTGTTGTCTACGATTTTGGCTAGCACACAGCTCTCACCACAGTGCTACTTTCGCCCTCCTTTCATATTGGGTTACTTAGTGTTCCTTTCAAGTCTCCCATGCATCTCCGCAAGCCTGTATCATTTGCTCTCTCTGACATCAAATCTATCTCCCCACTATTTGATGTTTTTATGCCGACAACCTCTCTCTATATATATACCACTGATAAGTCATATCAGTAGCACATGCCACAATACTATTTCATTTATTTTATAACTTCAGTTATTAACATTATTATTATTATCCTATACTTTCTGTGCATTTTTAATTTTATCGTCACTGTTAACACAAGAAAGCTGCTATTATCAATGTTGGTTAGTTATACCCCATAATATCATTATTTTTGTTTTTGCTTTTGCTGTTGTCGGGTAAATTAGATGCAATATTGTACGATTACTGCGAAATCCCACACTTTATCATAAGTACTATTTTGGAATAAAGTAAATCCTTATTATTGAATTGAATTCTTGATTTTCCCGTCGATTGATTGGCCCAAGTGGTCTAGTGGATAACGCTTTGGCGTTCGAAACTATGGGTACTGGGTTCGAGCCTCTGTGGGAACATCATCACTCACTGAGAAATGCAGGTACATCCAGCTGACGAGTCCCGAATAGGATGAAATGCGCATCCTGGATTCCACTGCTAGCCACCATCCACCAATTGTATACTAATCCTTATTATTATTCATCTTCCTGGGGTCAGTTATTCTAGACTTAGCTGAATTCCTACCTTTGATTACCAGACTTCCACTATTCTACTGGTTTGAATTACGTGGTTGACTTCAAAGTCATTTAAAGATATTTGTAGGTTAGATTACCTTGTGCAGCTGGATTAGTAGGGTCCTTAAGCTTACTGAGCTTTAGCCTAAGACAATTTGTAAGTTGGACCACAATCCTAATTCCTAGTTTATTAAGAATTCCGCCTATAAGGTTTCAATGTCCCCTTCTTAAATGGCAATACTGTAGGTGCCTTCAATTCCTTCTTATTCATAAACGTGGCTGTTATTTATTTTTTTATTTATTTAAATCCAAAAAAGCTTGGCACAATATGGCACCAAGAAGATGAGCCACATAATAATAATTAAGCAGCATATGAGATAAAAAGTAAAAATATGGGTAGATAGCGGATAAAGTAATTCATTTGGGAGGAAAGCAGTGACAATGAACAAGTTCAAACAGCATTCGTCAATTGTTGTTGAAAGGGAAGAAAGAAGGAAACTGCAGCACGTTCGCCATTGATTGTGATTTTTGGCCATATGCGATAACGTTCCGAGCCACCGATTTGAGCTATCTCTCGGACTCCAACCAGGGAGTCATGATGCACCAAATGATGCTAACCTAACACAAATATCCTTCATCCGACGACTCCACTTCATGAGCTCACTACCTCACTTCTTTGTTCATCCAGCGAACGGAGATTTGCACGGAAGCTTCTAGGATGACATTCGTAGCACACATCCAAGCTACGGAAGCCAGTGTTTCCAGACGACAACATTCAACGAATGGGAATCTCCACTATGTCCAACTACACATCACCAGACCCAAGAATTACTCAGGCGATGATGCCAGCGAACTCAAGCGACGTTGGAATACGCAGAATCGTCGAACAATCTTAGCTCGGAGAGACCAGGTTTCACAGGCGTAGAGCAAGACAGCACCCACTGAAGCATTATAAACCCGACCTTTGACAGCCAGGCTAACGTCACGACGGCGCCAGGGTGGCTCAAGTTGACATATGCCACTCTAGCTTTCATGATACGATTGGAAATCTCGTCCGTCACACATTCGCCAGCTCTCACACAATTACGCAGATACACGAACTTATGGACAAATTCAAGTGGTTCACCTGCCAGAGTGAGTGCAGGTACAGGTTTCTGTCAATCTTGTAACAGTACTTCGCACTTAGACGACGCAGAGCACATACTATGTACTTAAGCACACTAAACTCTCAAACACTTTAAACTTACCATACACAGTTAAGAAACCAGCTACTTGTCCAATTACTGGTATAATCATTAGACGATCAACAAACCAGTCAATTAATCGGATCCAATAAAATCCAGACTGTAGAATACAAAGAATAAAATAATAAATTGACAGATATAATTCAAGTCTGAAATATCAGTGACTCGAAAATTTTATCAATAAAGTATTAGAATCACTAGGTGATGTTCAGTAAAACGCCTGCAAATAAACTACGCGATATATATATATATAAGCTATCAGCAGGAAATGTGAGATTACGTGGGAATATGTGGGAATCTTACTAAAAGAATACTAATCAGACTTCTTCAAACAGCGAAAGCAGCGTCAATTCACACATTAAAACCTGAACTCTGCATACAAAAAGGGAAGTTTGTTTATTCATTCAAAAGTCTACGGTGGACCTGACTTATCTTAACACCAAAAATGTCATTTTTGTTTCGTATTTTTCTTGCTTGTTTGTTTCTTAATTGTATAATATTTTCTTCCATCACCCCTTAATAAATCTCTACCCTTTATTACCACTGATGTTAACTTGATTTTTGTTCAGTTTTAAACTTAGTTGAGCTCTACTCAACCGTGTCAATTAGATCACGTCACTCAACTTGCTTACTTAACCTTATTTTAGTTTTTAATCCATGAACGAAATCTGTTATCTAAAATTTACAATTCTAATGACACATGTTTAGAAATATTCATTTTGTTGCTGTGACAATTTGTTTATTTTATTAAAGCTTGATTCCACACAGTATTTTAGTACAAGTATGAGCTTTTCAGCATGTAGTATCGGTAGCTCAAATTTAGCATGCTGACCATTATTATCAGATATGCGTCGGCCGGGGATCCAGCCCCAGACCATGTGAATGGTCGGCTAGCGTCCTAACCTCATTGCCACTGACGCAGCTTGAGAATGATATCGCTGAAAAGGGTAACTCTTCGCTGAATGCCTTTTCTTCTAAATGTGAAATTAACCTAAAAACAATTAATAACTTGAAACTAGACTATCTGATATAGTTGTGCTCTTCTGAAATCTTTCTTGTTAAAAATAGACGACATTTGTAGGTGAAATGACAGAACTCGACTTCCTAAAAGTCACACTCGCAGAAAACGGTTAGCCGAACCGATTTACTGACAGAAACATGGAAGATAAGCAGGCCAAACTGGTCACCGACTCACTTCCAAAGAAAACCTAATTCATGAACTTGGTATTCAAAGGTGATTAAACTGCAGATATGCTCAAAAACTTTCTTTCTTTGCAGCAAAATTACAAAGACCTTCACCAGCAGCAAGTTGTTCTCCATTTCTGTAATAAATAGGCTTCCCCGTCTGGCCACCTCTATGTACATCTAGCAGTTCACCTGCTCTTCTGGAGCAAAGTAAATTGGCGGTAGTCAGAGAACGCTCTCCATACAGATACGAGGACATATTCCAGTTTGATTTTACAAGGGAGAAAGGAAGAGTGTGTGAAGCTCCATTCTAGATCACCTGATAAACTCCTGTCACTCTACTAACCCTGACCATGATTTTAAGATCATCTACCGAATCTATGCTAACTTGCCGCGTTTCCTTCGTTATAGACTTCTGAAGACAGCTACGGCCTTGGTCTTTCAGGATTTTAAGCCAGACCTTTGTGTACAAAAGAAATATGTACAATCCCTAATTCTGCCTTGGCCGTAAAGAGATAGACATTTGTTTATTTGAACAAGACATATAAGCGAACAATATTGTTTTCAATTAGATCTTCTTCAGGCTTTACTCTAATTTACATAGACTTATATATAAAATTTTAACCAATGACGGTGATTTAGTGGATCAAATAATAATAGTAATCATAATAATAAAAATAATAATAATAGTAATAATAATGTGGTAAATGTTTTGAACGAAGTTAATAGCGATGATTATAATAATAACAAAATATTGTTAATAAGGCTTATATAGGTGATAAGAATAACAAAGTTAGTATATGCATATATGTAGACAATTCAATAAATAAATAAATTAGGTCAAATCAAATGGAACGATAATAGTTAATCTGTGTACCTCGCCCTGGTTACTACGATTATTATTATTACTATTCTCACTTTGAATTTTTTCCGCTTGTCCCACTTATCATTCTAAATCCAAAACATTTTTTACGATATTGAATTCTATCTTATCGAATCTCACACCGCGTTATTTAACGTTTTATATTATCCTGCTTATCCTATAATTATGCACTCCTTTCTAACATATATACCCTTATGTATTACTCTATATATAACATTTATTGTTTTTCTACTTGACATTTAACTATGATTATAGTCAGAAATATTTTAATTACATTTCATACTTTCATTACAACCGCTTTACAACTAAAATGGTTAATAATATTAAAATAAAGTTCATGACAATTACTCAGTTATATTAAAAACAAAAGTACATACTAATGACCAATCATATTTAAATAGGTCAAGTAGTCCATGACAGGCGAAGATTGAAGTTTATTGTTTTTTGTACACACAGTTTAGACTGTATGTAATTAATCCCCAAAGTGCTTCGATCACCTTCAATAATCTTGAATCAGAGTTCTGTGAAATAATTGTGAAACAGTCATCAATATAGATTTTGTGACCTGACATTAATAAGTGTTTTGCAATGGATGATGCTGGATTTATGTTCAGGTTAACCGCATTGGGATTTTCTATATGATTTAGTAACCATTTTCGAACATGTTCTTTTCGATGACATTGGAACATTCTGTTAGTTCTACCTATATAGGTGTCACCGCAGCTGCAGGTGAACTTGTAGATACAGTTAGAATTAGAGTCCACAGAATTTCGTCCTTTAATCGTAGGTACACGGGTCGAAAATGTTCGGCAAGTGGTAAAAAGAGATGTGGCGGCGTAGAATGTGCGTTTGATGGCCTACAGAAGTCTTTGAGCTGTCAATTGCATAATCTCGTCGCCCTTGAGTGGTAGGTTAATACAAACAGCTTTCTTTGGTACAGAAGCTGTCTTTTCAAGATGTGGTCTTTCCTTACTGTGACAAGTGAGAAAGTTTTCTGGATAACCATTAACTAATAAAACTGAATGTATATGTCGAAACTCATCCAGCAATGTGTCTCAAGGGCCCGAAAAATATACACGAGTGAGGACAAATGCTCACCAATGACGTCGGTTGTTGGTCGCGTTAAAACCACAAATTAGTAAGAGTTAGAATTCATGGGCTGGCCATTGAATCGGGTCCCAGTGGCTGAATGTTATACGAGCTTGCCTTTTAACCGGAAGGTTCTGGGTTTGAACCCCAGCTGTGGGTGTGTAGTTACTTATGATGATTCCCAAACTAGGATAAAACAGCTATCCATTACTCTAGTGCTGGTTTTCAATGGTTCTCTGACTGATTTCCATCCGTGGTCTAACTCGAAAAACAAATCAAATCCTTAAAAATCAACTCTTGAAAAAAAACAATATTTCCTTCATTATTATGGTCATATTAATGTAGAATGTGATGGGGAATCTATCGAAAAGAATATTCTTTGTTTATCAATCAGTCTTTTAAAAAACCATCTCACCTGTGTAATCAAAGGTAATCCAAGTAATCCAAGTAGTAGTATAGTGAATACAATTGAACAACGATAAATTCTTTTATAATGGTCTTCATACTTCTCATTAATTACTGTTAAATGACCAACTATGTGTTCTACAGTAGTTAACAGGATTAATGCCTTGAAAATTAAATTTAAAAAAAAAACCAAAACAGTGAGAGAACGGGATGGTAAAACGCTTAAAAAAAAGTTATATTACTGATTACTGCAACAAAAATAATGAGAACTGCTCAAATTATTTATCATTCTAGAGTGAATCTGCTGGTGCTCTTTGTTAATGTTGTGTTACTCTGCCGAACCCAATCTAAACTTTGGCCAGATTAAAATAAACCACGTCAAACTAGTCAATGAGGTGTGATGAATAACGTGGTTCTACTTTCGTTAAGTCAGCGTCAGTAGTTGAACGATAAAATGCTCGCCAGCCACGCAAGTGGCCAAAGTTTGATTTCCGGCAGACGCCCTACCAAACCTCACCTAGTCGTTAGTGAGCCCGGAAAAGAGGGAAGGCCGGTGTAGTAGGGTCAGCAACTCAACCCTTTGAAAACAAAAAGTCACCGCTACTGAAGCTTCAAGGCCTCAAGCCTGGTGCCCTGTATTCTACTGTGAACCTGAAGGGATGTAAAAAAGACATTCATTAATCCGAGGTAGTGTAATCGAAGTAAATAGAAGTGAGACGATCAAACTAAATGATATTTTAATGCTTAGCTAGCACTGCTTTTTGATTAATGGACTGTTGTTGGTCATATTTATTTGATCCTCTGATCATTTCTATGATAAATATATCATTTACCGATCAAGTACTGAAGACATTTTTGACTGATTAACTTCCACTAATTCATGTCCCTCATAGAATGACTACAGTTTGCAGGTTAAATCGGCCTAAATCAGGCTTAGACCAAAAATGACAAATTAAGCCGTTGGACTAAAACAAAAAACTTATTGTAATGTGATTGGACGATTATATGCGTGACCTTATGCAACCAATCTGATTAGTTATTTACTGGCTTAACTTTCCGAGTATTTGTAATGTATATGAATTATGAATTTCTCTCACTGGCTCACACTAGTCTGTATTACTTTTGCATGATCTCTGTAGGATCACAAGTAACTGGTCATCAGCATGTCGTATTCAGTAGTCAGGTGATTTATTTATTAGTCTTCCCTTAACAAACTGAAATCACAACATTATCAATAGTTCCGGTTTCATCAGTTTAAGCTGTCTTTAGCAGTAGTATTTTCATGATTCATATTAATTAGGAATCTATATTGAAATAGATTTATAGAGAAAATATTCATCCAGGCATCTATAAAACACAAAATAATTGAGCAAAGAATATCCTTTCCGATAATTTCCTCTTCTGGTTTTACAATTATATATGTTTATATACATAGGATATTCTAGAATAGTAGTCAATAACAACATTGGTGTTTTTTAAATAATATCGATTTGTTAAGTAAGATCAGTGAAATTACAGCTAATTAAAGCTGCATAAATAATAATAATATAATTGCGAATCGAATATCAACTAAAATTGAGGAAATTTCTACAAAAAATTCAGGGTCATTCGAACCTAGATGGCCAAGGTAAGGACAACGTCTGAACTAGCTTCTTTTGGACACATAAGTTAGGCTTCTTAATGTGGATGCACATTAAGAAGTGTAACTGACCAGCCGACTCGTGACATCCAGTTTTTACTTAATGGGTTCCAACTGATTAACACTCAAAGTGACATTCATGTGATTCAGCTGGCAGTGTGCGCCTTTACACATTACTATTATTTTTCCCTTGGGTTCCTAGTGGAACATAGGGCTTCAACTGCACGTCTCCACTTGCTTCTGTCTTCCTTCTGCTGTACTTTTCACCTGCATCCATGTCAGTCGATACTGTTTCAACTCCTCTTCACACGATCTCCTCCACGTCACCCTTGACGACGTCCTACTCCCCGCTTCCCTTTCGGCCTGGTTCCAATGGCCTGACGCGCGCGCGATGTCACTCAGCGGCGCCTCCTCAGCGAGTGTCCGATCCATCCATCTCCACTTTCTCCTGCATATTTGTTGGGCGATTGGTTTGTTCTTGTTTTGTTTGTTCCCATAGTTTCTTGTTGATGATTTTTTCCGGCTCGGCCATCTGATCTTCAGTATAGATCCAGCGAAGACAGTTGTTGATGAAGGTCTGCAACCTGTTGATTGGAAATATTCTTTGTAACCTGCCAAGTTTCTGATCCGATTAGAAGAACTGACTGACTTTACGTTTGTATTGAAGATCCGAATTTTGTTGTTGATGCTGGCTGAGTGACGAAGATTTCCAGATTGGTTTCAGGTTGATGAATGTGTTTCTCGCTCGCCTTCCCGATTCTCGCTCGATTTGACATCCTCGTCCGTTCCGACTGCTTGTAGTTGAGACAATGCTCCCTAGATAAGTGAGTGAATGAAGTAACCTCTTCCAAATCCCTCTCGTTGATGGTGATTGGCGCTGGGTGTTGCTGTTGTTGTTGTTATTGTTGGTTGGTTATTTTCATCACCTCCGTCTTGTCTATGTTCACCTGGAGTCCTGTCTTCGCCGACTGCTTCTTCGACCAGTTTGTCGGTTTTCGCTTGTAAGTCTTCGATTTTGTGTGACATCAAACATAAATCATCCGCGAAATCCAGTTCTTCTAGGTTTTTCACGTCGGTCCAGGATATCCCTGTCTTCTTGTTTTTCCCTACTGTCTGACGCATAATCCAGTCAGTCCACCACAATTAGGAATATCATTGGTGATAATCTTAATTGAAGGACATTAATTGTTTGGAAAAGCCCTCCTGAATGATTCAGTCACAATATTTATGCTTATTTGGATGTTTCAATTAAATTTGTAGTCCTTGTCTGTTTTTTCTCTAGACGGTATATCATTGTTCTTATATTGCACATCCTCTGTCGACTTGACCCTTATTATTTGACATAGTTGCTATTTAATCTCTAGTTTTAGTCCTTCTCTATGTGATTGTGCGATACATTGATGGTGTATTATCTTGCTATTGTGATTTTTCTTAAATGAATCGAAATCATTTTGGCCTCAGACTGTCTGCGGGAACTGTGGTTATGTGATTCTTGTGGATAGAGTTTTCGTTCCCACCTTGTTGGAAATATTCTGCTTCGTTCTCAGGTACTTCTTACAGTTAAATTTCGGTTTACTAACTTCTCCCTAAAGTAATCGGTTAGTACTAAGAATGTTCTCTTGACTGTACCTGATGACAATATTGAGGTAATTCTGAGTTTTTGATGTTATTGTAATTAAATGGAAACACACGTAGATTCCATCCAAGAATAATCGTTTTCTCGCTTTCTTTTGAGGCGTTTTGAGACCGTGTGTCTCTCAGTGAAGTTTTGTCAGCTATATGTTAGAACATATGGGTAGGTTTCCTACATTCAGACCACAACGTGTCCATCTCGGTCGTAACACACATCACGTAGGATAGACAGATCAGCACATAAATGCATACTGGGTTGATTGAAGTGTACCTGTTTACTTTCTACTTCTTTTACTTTTGTGAGATAACGCATAACTCAAAATGCCTGTTGTTCGTGTGCATATTATTTGTTTCTGCAACATTTTTCAAACCTTTGAAATCACCTTAATCAACTCGTAATACTTACTTGATTCAGCAAAAGGCATAATGCCAGTCCAAGAAAATAAGATGTGACAAGTGCTCTAGGACTTGAAAATTTTGAAAAAATATGTGACATTATTACAAATGGTGCTAACCAATCAGCACTTAGATGACATCGAACATATTGTGGATCATAAGATGAAGCTACAGCGAATAGCATGATTAGTACAGGCAATTGTCCGAGTAATATTGAACCTATTGCTAGAGGAATCCAACCACTAAAAAAGAGAACAAATTTGATAGTACTATATAGATTACTTTTAATGTTATCAGTAGTTTATGTCGAAATCACGAAAATATAAGAATATCAGAGATGTTCTAAAAACGGTTACAGGTTACATAACAGAAACTTTTTGAAAACTTATGTTAGATGGAAGTACTCTGTCAAAAAAATTCTTATCAGTACTTAGAAAACTTTATTAGTTGAACTTAATTTAGGAATCATCGTGATAAACTGAACTCAGTCGGAGACCATTGAAACCCAAAGAAAGCTATTTCACCCTAGTTTTGGACTCTTCAGAAGCACACACCTGTAACCTCACCAGGGGTCGAGAAGCTGAACTTCCAGGTTACAGTGTGAGCTCGTATACCATCAAGGCACTTTAACGAAGTTCACTGATCAGCCAACGGATTCTAACTTCTGCCTATCCACGAAATATTGCATGATCGCCACCCATTGTCATCGACGAGTATTTGTCCTCACAGTCAACTTAGTGGGGCCTACTTTTCACGACTGCCCATTAGGACTACAAGGAACTTTATCCTGTAGTCAGTCACCAATAAGGATAACTTATTCCGTATTTACGAAATTATCGCTAAATATGTTTGTAGATTTCTAGAAAAGGTGCTTTACAAGGAGAAGCTTCAGTTTCTCCCTCTGAAATACATAATCATAAGCAGAATGGATCAAAGGTCAGATGATAAATAAAATATGAAGAAAGTATAGATAAGAAGTTGTTTAAATCAAATCCACAATTTTCATGTTAGTTATAAATTTAAGAATTATGGATTTAATTTTTGTGTCACTAATTCGCCCAAGTAGCTTGCAGGAATTCAGGTCATTTCACAGCTGATTTGTCTCTCTGTACTAAGTCAAAAAATGGAGTACACCACTGATGAGTTCAGCACCAAACAAGTGATATGGAAATCCGGTGTTTAGATCACCTCGATCCGGCTAACAAGCGCTCCTGGTTGATAGGAGTGGTATAAAACTATTCATCTCAGTTAAACAGTATTATTATCCCATTGGGTTTTGAGTGGAATATACAGCTTCAACAACATATTTACACTTTGTTCTATTTCCTGATGGCTAAACAATTGCACATAATCTCTCATCTCCTCCTCTAAATCACACGATCTCCTCCATGTTCCCACCTAGGCTCGAACCCAGTGCCCATAGTTTCAAACACCAAAGCATTACCCACCAGACCACTTGGGCCACGAGAGCCACCTCTTGTGAAACGAGTCATATTAATTATTCAATTGAATTTTAGATTTTCCCGTCGATTGATTAGAATGAAGTGCTTGGTCTCAGGTTGACATGTCTGTCGGCTACTTGTGCAGATGCTTCGACGATGTCTGGTCATTTGATTACAATTTAATCAGTGGATGGTGACTAGCAGTGGAATCCAGGATGCGCATTTCGTCCTCTTTGGCACTCGTCAGCTGGATGTACCTGTATATCGCAGTGAGTGATGATGTCCCCACTCTCTGAGAGCTGAAGCTGCTAAAAACAGGATATAATCCCGCCTCAACAGTTTAGTGGCACCAGCACTCAAGGGATATTGAAGCTTAGAAGATGGAGAGACTTACTTCTTTATTGGAGGAAGAAGGTGTTATTGTACACGTGGATGCAACTGTCTCATTAAAGAGATAACACAAAAGTGGTCGTGAACGAGCAAATAATTTTGGTGTATAAGACACCTCTCTACGGCAAAGATTCGTCAAGAGAATAGCACATAGAAAGCCAAGTACTTCAACACCCATTATCACTCGATTGGCGAAACAAGGATCTATAATACACACAGATGAGATGAAAGGTTATAACTCCTTGTCATCCCTTAGATATATTCACTAGAGTGTCAGTCATTCTGATGATTTTGTGGATCCCACTATAGCAACCCACACCAATTCTATCGAATGTTTTTGTGGAAGGTTGATAAACTGGTTTAGAGACAATAATGGATCTCAAAAGGATGTTATTTGTACACAATTAGATGATTACATATATGGGATGTGGTGTAACTTTTTTATTGACACTCCTATGGTAAACATTTGAGAGAAAGGTATCCTCTCTATCACTTTTATGCGGCTTTCATACATGTTTTGCCCTATAAATATATGTATTTCATACCCAAAAAATAGCCCCGTTCATGAGATTGATGTGCGTTCAATTGGTAGTTACTGATGCCCACAGTTTAACTTTCCTCGGTTTTCAGAAGCCTTCAGTAACAGTCTTTCACTCTATTTGAGAAAATATTTTCTATCAATTTACACATTGTTCTAACATAAATATTGACTCACAGATGTCTCATCTTGCTTCCACCACCAATTAATTTACCCAAAACGGGGTATACTCCATTCCACAAATTATTTGTTTGAGATAAATGCACAAATGTGGAAAGGAATCCCTGAATTTTTGAAAAAAAATGAGAGAAAACAAATTAAAAAGTTACTTAAAGTTGTTTGAAAACAAATATACTTGCATAAAACAATAACCACTGGACAAAGGAAGTGAATAGAGTAATTGTACACTTAACGTTTTCGCCTTATTATGACAGCATGTAAACTCTTTTGTATGTTAAACAACACTACCAGTGTGTGAATATTTACTGAGCTCCGTATTATTTAGGCAGGTTAACGTCTCCGCATGACCTCATATAGCACTGATTGACTGATGTGAATACATGGATGCCACTTACATCAACCAGTAGTGCATTAGCCAGAGAGAAGTGGTGTAAACACTGGACGACTGTCTCTCTCTCTTTTTCAAAGCCGAGCTCATCAGCAGAATATTCAGTTTAACTTAGCTCAGAGAATATTGAATTAGCTATGTTCTCTCAACCGATCGATTTAACCGCAAAGCTTCAGTCTCCGTCCTTCTAGACAACATCTTCAGCTCAGGTTTTAGTATAAAATGAACTAATTTAAATTCTTCATAAATGATGTAATTGTATCTCCTGGTAACCACTGTCATGATTGGTTGTTGATTCATGTCTCTATTGTTCATTTTTATTGACTTGGAGTTTGACCTTTTTTGCCATGTGATTTATTCTTTATTAGTTGGTAAATTTGGTCTATAGTGATGTGTTTGTTAAATGCTGATTCACTTAAGTACCAGGCTTCTAGAAATTAATTCCCTGGCATCAGTTTCCGTGTTTCCTCTATTTCAAATTTCTACATTATCCTAATCAGATTGGTGTTCATCATTATCCACATGCATTGATTTGAATGAACATATATCATGTCTTTTTACATTCAATTTGTGATCTTGGATTCTGATTCGAAGGGGACGCCCACTTTGACCGATGTAATGCATACTTCAGTTCATGCATACAATTTATTTTGTGAATGGTATTAATTTTATCTTCGTTTTCTGTTGGGTTTTTTTTTTGCTTTGCCCAATATCGAATGAAGTGAATGTGTTGGTTGGCTTGTGTGCTACATTTACTTCCAACGGTCTTAATAGTCTAGGTATTATTTCAGAGATATTTTTTATAGATGGTAGAATGAATTTTCTTGTGGTCTTTGATTTTGGCTTGTTGTTGGTGTTATGGCTCGAGTTTAACCATTTTCTTTTTTAAAAGTCTGTTTTTAAGTCAGTTATTCTATGTAATTCAAAGACTTGATGCATCACCAATAGCATTTTCATCAAGCTGAAGATGTTGATCATCAGTTGCCTTAGTTGGTTTCATAATGAACAGAGCATTAGCAACAAGAAGCTCTGTAAACGAACCAACCAAGAACCTCTTACTCAACAAATATTCCAAAAAGTAAGTGGAGATGAATCGGACATAGTCTGAGGAGACTGTTTGGTGGCATCCCGTGCTATGGAGCCTCGGATGTAACCCAAATGAGTTTCAGGGAGGTCGGACATGAGTCTGAGGGTAACACGGAGGAGATGGTGTGAGACGGGGGAGGGATGAGAGCTTAAGAGCGGTAGTGGGGCCAGCTAAAGAGGACTGCAGAGAACAGGATGAAATCGAAATGTGCAGTTGAAGCCTTATGCTCCATTCAAGACCTAAGGGAATAATAATAATACGGGATAACAAAAGTACCCAGTCACTTGAAATAATCTGTCTTCTTGATTTATTCAATGAAGTTTTCTTCTGTTTATCAGAAAACAAACATTTCATCTCGGTTACTAGGTTGACAAAACAGAATACATATTTAAAAAACTTCATTTCCGTTGTAAAAATTAACGTATATTTAAGATTCTTGTGCTTACAGCACAGCAGGTGAATAACTTTAAGAGAAAGTATCTCATTTCATATTTGTTTTAGTGTGTGAATAACTCATTCCAAGTTTATTATGTCGATTAGAACATGTGTGATTGTGCCCTGAGATGTACACACACGCACAAACACACACACACACACACAGTGTGGAATCAGGACATCTACTCTCTCTCTCCTCCTCTCTCATTCATTCAGTCACCTAATGAATAATTTATGCGCATATACACATATATTTGTGTAATTTTTTTTCGTCAAATTCATTGTTCAATGTTTGTTTAAATGTGTAAATACAAAATGTTACAGCGGGCAGAACAAAAATTTGTTGGTATACCTAGTGACTTGTGTATCACTTGTTCAAATAATTTACTTTTCGAATCATATTACCTTAGTTACTATTATCATTATAAAAGCTGTACAAAAATTGCAAACATGTTTTTTAATTGTTGCATTTGTGGCTTATTCATTCATTCATTCAAACGATTATATATGTACATGAATAAACTTCATTTGATTGGTGGTGGTTGGCAGCAGAAACTAGGATTCTCATTTCATTCAGTTTAGCGCTTGTCAGCTGTATGTATCTGTACCACAGTGAGTGATAGTATTCTCACTGAGACTCGAACTTAGTAATCATTATTTCAAACTCCAAACATTTGGTACATTTTTGACTCCATTCATAGTTGCTATCATTCAAATAGCAACATATTAACCTCCAAACATCGTCGAGGCCTGTGTACTAAAGGTGAACATGTTGACAGACATCGAGAATTTCTATCCAGTATAAGTTGGTCAGTGCGTCGGTGGTATAGCGGTTAGGACGCTCGCTGACCATGCATATGGTCCGGGGTTCAATCCCCGGCCGACGCACACCTTTACCTCTCTAAGCCAGAAATAATTCTGGTAAAGAGGAAAGGTTGGGCATGAGGCTAGCGACCCCATCCTGTAAAATAAACTCTGCTACAGAAACTTCAAGCTACTAGCTTGAAGCCCTATGTTCCACTGGGAACGCGAAGGAAAAATTATTTAAGTGATGGTCTGTAGGGATTTGTTTAGTTTCAGGATTTCATCATGAGCTGACATTAGTTAGAGAACCATTGGAAAACCTGGGAGTACTGGACAGCTGTTTCGTCAGCCTAGTTTGGGACTCTTCATCAGTACGCACCCACCTCCAGGGTTCGAACCAAGGACCTTCTGGTTACAAGCCGAGCCAGCTCGTAGACCATTGAGCCAGTGGAACCCGATCCAATGGTCCTTGAATTCTAACTTCTGCCAATTGACGACATAGCGCAACCGCTAGCCAATGTCTTCGGCGAGTATTTGTCCTCACACCCGACCGGCTGCACCCTACTGGTCACGATTTCCCACTGGAACCCAGGTAACTACCTACCTGAATAGGGCCAGTCGCCATTATTATTATTATAAGTTGGTCAGCAGGAAATACGAAAAATAACTTAGACATTATAGATTATTATAATACAATGCTAATGTTAACCCTTAGGATTTCTAGATGTTTGGGCAGACAGATTTAATTTGCTTCATAAGGAGCTGTAAGCATTGATTTTGTAAAATCTCTTTGCTTATAGCATTTAAACAACAGGACTGGTAACGTAGTTGGTGAAATATTTGCAAGTCTATGAACTCATAATAATTTGAGCAGATGACATCGAGTCAGAAAGAATGAATTTCACTTTTCATTTGTTAAGCTGGTATACGTTGATTCAATCACCTTGGCATAGCTTGTTCTGTTGTATAGAATTACCCCCAAATGGCAACCTTACTACTAGCAACCATAATTCACAGTGGTAGTGAACAGATTTGTGTGTTAACCCTTATTATTCTCTTAACCCGTAATGGGAAGGTAACCTAGTCAGAATCAAAGTCGGAGAATATTTGATGGCGATTAGAATTCCTGAAATTGGGATTAAGCTTTTTTCTTTTTTTTTACTTTACAACTACTTTACTTACTTACCACTTTGGTGTGAGACCATTTATTTTCGTCTCCTTGTGTTTGGACAATAGAAGTATCATCGCAAACCTAGTGGTCTTCTGATTTCCGCCTTCTCGCGTCAGGACTATTAGTTTCTCGACCAGTCCATAACAATAATTCAGCGACGAGTACATAACAATTTGGCGACGGGGAAACTAGTACATAACAGCTTTCCCCAATAGATTTTCAGTATCAATGGAAATGCTTTTCATACTAAACACTTTCCATCTGACCATTCTGTCACAATAGGACTACAATAAACACTCTTTCCAACCTACCTATACTGTTTGAGCTGTGTAACATTCAACTTGAACTAGGAGACTAACATAAGAGCTATAAATCATGCCCAAGGTACAACCTTCTTGAAAGAGCAATCGTCAGCCAGTGATTCTTTTAAAAATCAAATATTATCTAACCTCAGTTAGCATGCTAAGTTAAAATAATTTCCCTAAGAAATCAAATTTAGCCAAATAAAACCTTCGAAAACTAAACAAAACTGGACATTTATTTCATCCTGCTTTTAAGCTCCTAGTGACATAGCAAATCTACATACAGTTGTGTAAGAAAATAACAGTCAAATATTTTGGCTGAATAATATTATTCATACATTTTGGATTTTGTGTGGACTTTTAATTAGTTTCATTGCTGACTTCATCACAAACCAACATCAGTTACGAAGTCACTAAAAATGAAGGAGCTCTGAACAGCTGTTTCGTCCTAGTTTATGACTCTTTAGCAAAGAGAACCAAGCATCCTCAAGTCAAAAAGTTATCCTCTCCAGATCCTTGGAAGATTTTGAATGAGGAGTCGTGGCCAAAGTTCTTCACTACGTCATGCGATTTAGTGGATGCTTATATATTATCAAGTGTTGGTTTGCCGGCATTTGATTGGTTACAGGGTTGGTCACGAACTGAAATTACTTAGAGAACCCCTGAAAAACCTGGGAGTACTGAATAGCTGTTTCATCCTACTTTGAGATGCTTCTTCACTACACACCACAACCTTATAAGGAATTGGAACCAGGACTTCCAGGTTACACAGCTAGCTGGTTGACCGTTCAGTTGTGCATCGGTGGCACAGTGGTTAGGACTCTCGCCGACCATGCATATGGTCCGGGGTCCGGTTCCTGGCCACCGACTCACTCCTTTACCTCGCTAAGTTAGTAATAAGACTGGTAAAGAGGGAACGTTGGGCGTGAGGCTAGCAACTCCATCTCGTTAAAATCAACACCTCCGCTACTGAAACTTCTTGCCTCTAGCCTGAAACCCTGTGTTCCATTGGAAACGTGAAGGAAAAAAAAGAATTTTTAGGTTGGACCCTAGTGGTTGACTGGTCTACGAGCTAGCCTTGTAACCGGAAAGTCCTAGGCTAGAACCCCGGTGATTGTGTATTGCTGAGGAGTCCCAGACTAGGACGAAATAGCTGTGCAGTACTCCTAGATGGTTTCTCAATAGTCTCCTAACTACTGTCAGCTGGTGATCAATCCTGATGCTTATATACGTCACTGGTTGGCTATTGCGTGATGTCGGGATGTGACATAGATTAGGAGTTGCAAGTTATAAAATCCCAACCCAGGTGCTTAGCGGTCAATGGGCTGGCTGTTTAACCTGAATGTCTGAGGGTTGTGATGAGTAATGTTGAACAATCGCAAACTAGGATGATTCTCCAGCTAACGTTGGTTGGTGACAAAATAATCTTATTTGTTGAGATTGAGAGAAATAGACTCAAGTGTATTGATTTCTTTGTATTTTAAAAACTTGTTTTCCTTCAAAAAGGTTGTATTGTTTTAAACTTAAATTAGACATAAATGTCTGTTAAAAATCCACATCAGTAGTTAGGTGCTTTTGCTAAGCCATTTGAGTACAGTGTCATCAACTAAAATCCACGGATTTCGAATCATCTTATGATTTAGATTAAATCCTTTTTATAGTTTGGTTTGTAAGGGTTAGTTATGTTTACATAACTAACTATAGAAAATTAATGTGATACTCGCTAGTGACTTGCTACAGGATGAAGTTTCCTGGAGTCCTAATGAGATGTTGTGACCAGTGAGCTCCACTTATATGTCACGTGTGTGGATGAATGTCCCACCAGCAACAATGGTTGGGGTCGTGCTAAATCATGAATTGGTAGAAGTTAGAATTCATGGAGTGGCCATTGAATCGGGTCCCAGTGACTGAATGGTATACCAGCCAGTTTGCCTTGTAACCAGAAGGTCCAGTGGATGCGTACTGCCGATAATTCCCAAACTAGGATGAAACAGCCGCTGTCCAGTACTCCCTGCTTTTAAATGGTTCTCTAACTGTTATCAATCCGTGATCAAGTCGTAAATCCTTTTTAGAAAAATTCATCTAGAAACCAAATCTTTTAACAACAACAACAACAACAACATCAATACTAATAAGATCAACACAAAATTACCCAAACTAATGGTTGAACTTCATAGGTGTCAACACCATCAGGATTGATTGGTATCATAGCAAAAAACATACGATAGAATTTATTCGTATATTCAGTCAGTTGATTTGTGGAATCTGCATAGTTCACACCCATGGTGATCAACACTCCAGTCAGTAGACATACAGCCAATGGTGATAGAATGTAGAGTAGCTAGAAAAAGAAATATGTATTCAAATAAAAAGGAAGATTGTGAATGACACTCATGTTGAAGTGTTGAGCATTGATATGATAAATGAATTTATAATTACATAACCTAATATATATTATATATACATCGGATGACAGACTGTTGAATTAATCAGAAGTAAATTATGATAATATGTAAATGAGTTGGTTGGTTGGTTGGTTATTCATTGTATATATATATTCTCTAGGTGTGAAATGTCATTCCTCCAAGATTACCACTAGTAAATGGTGTGATTATATTCTAATCAATTTAAGATGAACAAATTTAACAATGTTATCTTATTTAATTGAATCATAGATTTTCCCGTGGATTGATTGGACCTAAGTGCTCGGTCTCAGGTTGACATGTCTATCGACTTCTTGTGCAGATGCTTCGGCGATGTTTGGGCTTTTTTAATTTGTATTTAATTGGTGGATAGTGACTAGCAGTGGAATCCAGGAATCCACCATCAATCCAATTAAATAATTAAAATGACCCGTCGCACAAGAGGTGGCTCTTGTGGTGCAAGTGGTCTAGTGGGTAACGCTTTCACGTTTGAAACTGTAGGCACTGGGTTCGAGCCCCGGTGGGAACATCATCACTCGCTGAGGAATGCAGGTACATCTGGCTGGTGGATGAGTCCCAAATAGGACGAAATGCGTGTTATCCTGGATTCCACTGCTAGTCACCACCCACCAATTAAATGTTATCATATCAAAACTGACAATCGTAGTTCGATGCAGATTGTAGTTGTCCAGTTATTCGTCAGGTGTTTGACTAAACTCTGCGTAGACATGTCGTTTATTCGCAGTCTGTGTAAAGATAAGTGGAATGTTTAACTTGATAACATAGTCTCTGCACTCAGTTATCTCTCTATGAGGTGAAAAACTGATAATGGTAATATTTCAGTAGGTTTACTAGCTACAAGCTCCCTGTGTAACCGACATAAGCAGTTATCCTTGATGTGTTAAGGCATACGATATCTTGAGGTGACTTGAACAGAAGTAGGTGAGGTAAGCTGATTTTAAGCTGAAATTTACTAGTCACTAGTTAGAAATATGAATCAATAAGGTAAACACTTAATAAAACTTGTTCGGACTTAGAATATTTTTTATTCCTTCACGTTCCCAGTGGAACACAGGGTTTCAGGCTAGAGGCAAGAAGTTTCAGTAGCGGAGGTGTTGATTTTAACGAGATGGAGTTGCTAGCCTCACGCCCAGCCTTCCCTCTTTACCAGTCTTATTACTAACTTAGTGAGGTAAAGGAGTGAGTCGGTGGCCGGGGATCGAACCCCCAACCACATGAGGCGTGGTTGGCGAGCATTCTACCACTGTGCCATCGACGCACTCAGACTTAGAATAATCTCTACATAACTCAGGGAATAGAACACACTCAATTACTCCTCAAATTATACGTCCAAGTTTTTGAAAACTTCTCAGTATTTCTAAAAGGAATATTCATATCGTAAGTTTGAAATTCTTAGGCTGTGCTTTAAAATTAAAGCGTCTGAAAATACAGCTGTGAAACGACGTTTACAAATAAAGAAACTGGACAGAATTTATTTACCTAGTCAATATCGCCTTCATGCGTAATGAGGTGATTTTAGTACTCAGATGTTAACTGTTTCGTAAAAATGATAAAAGAGTAGTTTGAGAACTTAAACTTGTTCCATTTAAGGTGGCTAGAACATGTGTTATACATTTCGGGTCACTGTGAAGTCTGACAGGAAGTATCAGCCTTGTAGTTGAAAGAACTTTTAATACTGACTTCATGAACTGAACAACAGTCGGACTGGTTAAGTAGCCACTTTCTATGGGTGGACTGTTCATTGAAGCGTCCTCAAAACACAGACTGAAAGCTTTCCTTTAGGTTTCTTCGATACAGGGGTTGGTAGCATGTCTACCTAATCAGGGATTTCATCAGCAGCCTACACACACACATACACTTTATATGGGTTTCTAAAAAGATATAGTTCTTTCGTAATCTTTTTGTTTAGCTTTGATGAAAACTGTGTGCATATTGACTTCTTCTCAATTGTTTGAAGTCAACTTTTCCTGTCAGCAGCAATTTTCCGCATTTCATATTAAATTGCCTAGAAAATCTATTCTGTCTAAAGATGTTTTGTCAGTGGTAGCCAATTAATTAGGATTAAATGTTGTTAAGAGCTACTTCTTAGGCATTTGATGTGTTTCAGGCTTAGTCGTTGATTGATATCATTTAGGGAGCTATTGAAAACCAGGGAGTGATGTACGGGTATTACGTCATAGTTTCGAAATGTCCAACAGTATGCACTTATCATCCAACCAGAGATAGAACCCAAGACCTCCTGGTTACGAAGCCGAGCTCACTGACTAGTCAGGCAGTCGGGAAGGGATCCAGAAATACTAGGTTCAACCCACTGTCGTTCTTGGGTGTGCACTGTAAGGAATCTTTAGTAAAAGACGGAAGATTTATCCACAAATGAGGATACACCAGGGTGTGTGAGTCGGTGGCCCAGCGGTAGAATGCTCTCCAACCACACAGGTGGTCTCGGGTTCGATTCCAAGCCACCGAAGCACTCCTTTACCTCGCTAAGCAAGTAATAAGACTGATAAAGACAGAAGGTTGGGCATGAGACTAACAACCTCATCCCGTAAAAATAAACACCACTGCTACAGAGACTTCTTGCCTCTAGCCTGAAGCTCTGTGTTCCACTGGGAACGTAAGGGAATAAAAAAAACTGTGAGGAATCTCAAACTAGGACAAAACATCTGTAGCTTAATTGGTGTCACTTATACTAGACACCCCTGGGTAGAAATGAATTATAGCTTAAGTATTTTCTAATCCATTATTTTCTTACAGTTATTCCTTTCTCACACTTTGTTAATATTATTCTGTGGCATAAGCTGTTAGACTGTTCGTCGTAAGCGTAATTCGTCGTTAATTTTATAGACACATTTTTATTTATGTAACAAGTGTTAGGCATAATTTATGTTACAGGAAGTAATAAGGATATCATCAGTTTACATAAAACAATAATTTCCCTTGACTGAAGATGCCCATTAAAAAAAATTTAAAAGACTAATTAATGAACAAAGACTATTCTTTCCGACAAATTCGTCATCAGCCTCTTCATTTATATAACTAACAATTAAGGAAGTATTGTTATTAATAACATTAATGCTGTTTTAAATTACACTGAATCAGTAGTATCGACGGGTGATTATATTTGAAAAGCATCAACAAGAGAGAGAGAGAGATAATACTCATTAATGTAACACTAAACTGATTGAATATCAAATAAATTGAGGGAAATAACACAGAATTTGTGAATTTATAGATTTGACAACTGGCCAAGGTAGGAATAATGGCTAGGTGGACGTGTCTTTCTTTTTCATACACAGTTCTACTTGATTTAGGCGAACTGTAATGCCCTTTACCATTTGAAGTGTCCGGTACCTAGAGACTTTTGGAAATGTATACGGTAGCTGATAGATGACAGAGGGAGATTCTTCAGTGTTAGCCTCATAACCTGTTTGGATGAGGTGGTCCGATAAAGAACTGCTGGTTGTTTCAACAACGTCTTTATTTAGCCAAATAGGTAGGCGTTCCTGAGCACGAAAAATTAAGTTTCTAGAGCAACGGTAAATATAACTGGCTTCAGAGGAACGGTTTAATTGATAAATACAAATGGAGGTGCCTGGCCTAGGTGCCCAATTCTTTCAGTTTTGGAATGACAACCAGTTTTGTGGAAAACATAAGCTGAAAATTACTGGCATTAAACGTCTTTTGAATCTATTTTGTTAACTTGTTGGTTATTATTTTACTTCGTATATCACCCGTGAATTGTAGTCATATATGTATAGAGGCTTCTTCTCCTTAAATTTAATTTCCCACTTCATCAGGTTCTTTCACAAGTTTATTGACGAAGACTGCAAAATGTTGAACACTCTTCACTCTTTCATTCTAACTCTACATTTGTCTGTTGCATTGAAATTCATTATGTCATTTACTGACAAAAACTCTTCTCATTTTTTCAGTCAACATTATTTCTTTCTGTCACACCCCAAGAAACATGAACACCGGAAAGCATGTCGGCTTAAACAATGAAATCATGAATGGTACATGGTTTTCCGGTCTGAAGGTGACTGTGTTTTTTCTTACTCAACTTTTTATCAGTCTAAATTATGCAATTTATTTCATTGCATCAATCAATTGAAGCTGTTTTTATCTACCTTTTTACAGGTGTCTAAAAACACACCACCCTCTCTCTCTCGCTCGCTCGCTCGCTGATTCTGTTAAGTAATTCTATCTACGCATATGACTGATGAATCATTCATTCAGTTAGAATAAGTATTATCAACCGATTTCCGGATAACTGGAATATAGTGATAGATACGCATAAATTTGTTACATAATAATATTACATGTGCATAATATTAAAGGTATATTTTACAGAGTATTTTATACCACTTAGGTTATATTTATTCCTGCACACTTGTGTGTCTATTTGTGCGTCTGTGCGTAAGTGTACCTGTATGTGCGTATGTGTGTGTGCGTGTATGCGTGTTTATTTGCATATGTCTGCTTAGATGTCTAACAAGCTCTTTCATTGTTGTTCTAAACATGAACAAAGGCAACTAATATAGTTCACTAAAATTAGATTTACAAGCAAAAGGTATATAAATATTCTCATGACTAAATTTATGTGTATGTATTAATATATATATATATATATAAGGTCGTGGGTTCGAATCCCAGTGGGTGCGTACTACCGATGATTCCCAGACTAGGATGAAACAGCAGCTATCCAGTACTCCCTGGTTTTCAGTGATTCTCTAACTGATATCAATCTGTGATCAACTCGTAAGAACATAACTAACCCTTACAAACCAAACTTTAGAATACTGATCTGATGCTCGCTAGTGACTTGCTACAGGATGAAGTTACCTGGAGTTCTAGTGAGAAGTCGTGACCAGTGAGGTCCAACCAGTCAAGTGTGAGGATGAATTTCCCACCGATGACACTGGTTGTTGCCAGTCGAGCTAAATCACGATTTGGTAGAAGTTAGAATTCATGGGCTGGCCGCCATTGAATCAGGTGCCAGTAGCTGAATGGTATACAAGCCAGCTTGCCTCGTAACCGGAAGGTTCTGTTTTCGAAGCCTGGCGGTGAGTGAGTACTGCCGATGATTCCCAAAAAACTAGGATGAAACAGCTGTCCAGTACTCCAGTGCTGGTTTTCACTGGTTCTCTAACTGATATCAATCCGTGATCAACTCGTAAAAAAATGTACATATACAAAATAAATAGGCTCTATCTATAAGTATTTTGAAATGAAGTTAAACAATTGTTTGTGCACAACGCATCACCTTTGTTACTACACTACTTTCATTAACACTCAAATTTCTTGACCCGGTTGAACCTCACTGGCCACGACTTCTCACTAGAACTGCTGGAAACTTCATCCAGTAGCAAGTCACTAGAGAGCGTCAGATTAATTTTCAAGAGTTGGTTTTTTATGGATTAAATTTGTTTTTACGAGTTTGACCATGGATTGATATCAGTTAGAAAACCACTGAAAACCAGCAAGGAGTGCTAGACAGCTGTTTCATCTTGGAGTTTTAGTGACAAATCTTGACCAGTGAGGTCCAGCCAATCAGCTGTGAGGATAGATTTCCCACCGATGACATTGGTTGGTGCCAGTCGCGCTAAATCACGAATTTTTAAGTATTGGTTTTGTAGGGATTTTGTTTGATTGCATGGAGGATTTCATCATGAAGAGTCCCAAACTAGGACGAAACAGCTGTCCAATACTCCTAGGTTTTCCAGGGGTTCTCTGAATGATGTCAGCTCATGGCGAAATCCTCCATGCAATCAAGCGAAATCCCTACAAAACCAATACTTGAAAATTAATCTGATGCTCACTAGTGACTGGCCCTATTCAGGCAGTTAAATTTTTTTTTTTTTGATTACAGCTTGATTCCACACTGTATTTTTGGTACAAGTGTGGAATTTTCAGCGTGGATATCGGTAGCCCAAAATCCGCAGGCCAACCATAGATATCAGGGGTGTGCGTCGGCGTGGGCTCGAACCCCGGACCATATGCATGGTCGGCGAGAGTCCTAACCACTGTGCCACCGACGCACCTGGGGTTCTAATGGGAAGCCGTGACCAGCGGGATACAGCAGGTTAAAGATGAGGCAGTAATTCATCGAAGAAGACATTGTGAAGTGGTCGCGCTATGTCGTCAATTGGCAGAAGTTAGAATTCAAGGACCATTGGATAGGGTTCCACTGGCTCAATGGTCTACGAGCTGGCTCGGCTTGTAACCAGAAGGTCCTTGGTTCGAACCCTGGAGGTGGGTGCGTACTGATGAAGAGTCCCAAACTAGGCTGACGAAACAGCTGTCCAGTACTCCCTGAAGGTTTTCCAGTGGTTCTGTAACTGATGTCAGCTCATGATAAAATCCTCCAGGAAATCACGAATTGGTAGAAGTTAGAATTTACGGGCTGGCCATTGAATCATGCCCTCAGTGGCTGAATGGTATACAAGCTTGCCTTGTAACCTGAAGGTTCTGTTTTTGAAGCCTGGCGGTGGGTGATTACTGACGATGAATCCCAAAAAACTAGGATGTAACAGCTGTCCAGTACTCCAGTGCTGGCTCCCAATGGTTCTCTAGCTGATATCAATCCGTGGTCAAACCCAAATATATTTGCGATTGTTCACATAAGAAAATGAATTCGCTAAGAAGAAACTCTTCGCTGAACTACGTGTTTTGTTTTAACTAAGGCCTGAATGAGGATTATTCATGAAATAAAAATAAGTGTAATTACAGTCGTAGCCAAATATCAAGTGATAAAATTATAGGATAAATAAGACTAGTAGGAACAAAGAGAATGAGGCAAGTTAGCACGAATTCGATAGATGATCTTAAAATCATAATCAAGGTTGGTAGAGTGACAGAAGTCGATTGATTACTCGAGAATAGACCTTCGTACACCCTTCCTTTCTCCCTTGTATAGCCATACTGAAATGTTCTGTCGTATCTGTGCGGAAAACATTCTCTCTCTTATGCGTTACTGCTCAAGAACAAGTGAATTGATAGATGCATAAGCAGGTGGTTAGACGAAGGAGCCTATCTTTTTCAGAGACGGAGGACAACCTGCAGCTGGTGAAAGTCAATTAGAACATTCCACTGAGTGAGTTAGAGAGATGGTTTTTGAGCATATCTGAAGCTTGATCACCTTTAAATTCCAAATTCATAAAGATGGTTTTCTTTGGAATTGAATAAGTATTCTTATCATCATTATTCTGAACAGTTTCCGGTATTATTTCATTATTCCTTTCACTATTTTAAGTCAGTAGATTTTATGCTATGTTACATTCCATCTTGTCAAACTTCTCACTGTATTACATAATTTTTTTAGTTGCCTACTAATCCTGTAATTTTACATCCTTTTTCAGCATCTATATATTCTGTGAACTATTCGATATATGACATTATTTGCTTTGTGCGTCAGTGATCTAGCGGCAGGATGCTCGCCAACCACGCCGCATGTGGTTCAGGGTTCGATCCCCAGACACCGACGCACTCCTATATCTCGCTAAGCCAGTAATAAGACTGGTATAGAGGGAAAGTTGGGAATGAGGCTTGCAACCCCATCCCGTGAAAAGAAACACCACTGTTACGGAAACTTCTTGCCTCTAGCTTGAAGAGCTATGCTCCAATAGGAACGTAAAGGAATAAAAAAAATTTGTTTTCCAGTTGATATTTAACTATAATTGCAATCAGAAACATTTTAATTACATTTCATGTTATTATTATTATTATTACTATTAGTATCATCATTATTATTCTAAGGACTGAAATGTTTGTTTAAATTTCCTCGCATAATATTTTTTATTCATTTACGTTCCCAGTAGAACATAGGGCTTCAAGCTAGAGGCAAGAAGTTTCGGTAACAGTGGTGATTATTTTTACAGGATGGGGTTTCTAGCCTCATGCCCAACTATTCCTCTATACCAATCTTATTACTGGCTTAGCGAGGTATAGGTGTGCGTCGGTGGCTGGGGATCGAACCCCGAACCAAATGAGGCGTGGTTGGTGAGCATTCTACCACTAAGCCGTCGACACACCCACAGAGAATATAGTTTCTTGAATACTCGCGAGAGGAGGTCATAGAGTGTCAGCATATTTACTGAGGATAATAGCTAGTGCACCATCTGGACCAAGGGACTGGGTGGGTTTCAGGGATTTGAGCAACTTGAAGACATCGTCTGAGTTAGAACTAGAAAAGCGGTCATTATTTGTACTTGTAACATTTGAGATCATAAAATCAGCTGGGTGACATATGAAGGATTTATTTAGAGTACTATCATCAACTTAAGAAGGATCATTATTTATTCGCTTACTTGCGATATATATATATATATATATATATATATATATCAGTGCATTAAAGTCAGCTCATTAGATAAGACCTTAATGTCGTCATAGGCATTTTCGGTGTTACAAAATAAACGGCTGCATAATTGTGTTGCTAGTAAGTGTAAAGTGCTTTTCTTGAATGCAGTTATCTCACAGGTGCAGAACAAGAACTATTTATTGGTAAGAATTTATTTTTTATTTTATTTATTTTTGATTACAGCTTGATTCCACACTGTATTTTTGGTACAAGTATGGAATTTTCAGCATGTGATATCTATAGCCCAAATTTTTCAGGCCGACCACTGATATCAGGTGTGCGTCGGTAGGGGATCGAACCCCGGACCATGTGCATGGTCGGCGAGGGTCCTGACCACTGTGCCACTGACGCTCAAAGCCAGCTCCTCGACCGGGAATCGAACCAAGGCCTTCCACGTGATAGGCGGAGATACTCATCACTATAGTAGTTATATGCACGTTTTATTCCCTACTTCTACAATCCACACATTTTTTTCATCGTAATAGAATATACAAAGAAAGGTCACCCGCCTTGTATTCATCCTCAGATAGGTTTATTATGATACAATAATTCATGCCTTAATTTCATTTTATTAAAACAACACTTTATGATATATAGTTTATGGTATTTTCCCTTGATTCAAATCCCATTCGAATTACTCTTTCTTGAAATAAATATTCAACTTTTTGATAGTTATTAGAAGTAGAATAAATACACAAATTAAATTGCGTGTTTTGCATCAATTAGATAACAATTACTGTTATTCGACGCAGATTTCTGATGTAACAGGCTACTAGCTGAACTTATTCTGTGAAAGATATTAACACTACTCAGTTGCTGTGGCTGAATTATGTAGGGCGGGATTCGAACCCAAGATCAAATGATTAAAAGTGGAATGCTTAAGCCGACTTATGAGATAGAGGACTTGCATATCGCATTATAACACAGCAGGATTCATTCATTTTTGTTCAAATTCCTAATGGCTAGTTCAGCTAAATTATAAATACTAGCAGAACTTTTTATTTGCATACGCATATATCAGCCAGTTTAAAAACCTCAGTCTTCAATTTAAAGCATATAAGGATATAAAAACCGAAGGCCTTTTTCAAATTTTAAAAACTTACCAAACCGAAAACCTTTGAACCACCAATAGTCATGAGAAAAATAAGAGTATATGCAGCTATATAAGGAATTGCAATTAATCCACGATAATTAAACCACGATGGGAATTCTGGTCCAGTGAGAATATCATCACTTCTCATAAGTAAAAAGTTTCTGAAAAACAATGCAAACGTGAACAGACTATTATCTAATCAAAAAGCATTCATAATTATTAATACTGTTTTTAAGTTTAAGAGATGTTATATTAATTCCGATTTATCCCAGAGATTTATGGATTGTTAATTAAAATGAATTACTATAGTGTAAACTAATCAGAATAAGCGTTAAATTACAAGTTTAAGTTCCCTATTTTCATTCAATAAAATCCCTTTGTAAACTGTTGGATTTAGGATGCATGCTGTACATGAACTTCAATAATGAAACGTAATTCTTCTGTAGTCTTTCTTAAACAGAATGTTTTATACTCAATTTACATAACAAGAGAAGGTTGAACTCAAATTCTGAAAAAATAGACTGAGGTGAGTTCACATGAAATAAATATGTGCCAAATTCTCTCTAAGTAAAACAAAGAAAACGCTTAGATATATCCATCGTGCTTTTTACAAGTGAATTGTAAGCTAATTAAACATTCTAGCCAGGAATCATGCAGAAGACGCAAGAATTACAGCTGAGATTTTATAAAGCACGATACAGTTATCAACATGCATACAAGAATGGGCAATATGGTCTTAACAGTGTAGTTACTTATCACAGGGATCTGAATATATTCTGGAAGTTAGTTAAACATACACGCATGACCAGTTAGCTCTTATGGGTTTGAATCTCAATGAAGGTGTACTTTTGACGAGCACCAAACAAGGACTGAAGGGCTATCCAGTACACCCCAGTTTCCAATGCTTGGGTTTCTAACTGATATCCATCGAAGACCACACTTGATAATTAGCTTTTGAATATTTTAAATAACTGTTTAAACAACCACTAATTAACACGCTGTTAATGAATAAATTGTTATCATTGAATCATAAGTCTTTGGGACAAAACTTTGCTCACAAACACCACACTGAACCAAGAATTGTCACCACAAACCTTATTGTACTTAGATATTTCTTATCTTAAGTCTGTCCATCTGTCGGTACAATATTATACTTTGCGTCAAACAGTTTTATGCTATCTAATAAATTAGCTCTGATTTAACTGTCCAAGGTGTTCAGTAACAGTGTAATAATTATTTTAAAACAGAAATTTTCCCATTTCTCGGTAGTTAGTATTTCATTTTTTATTTTGATTATAGCTTGAAACCACACAGTACTTTTGGTACAAGTATGGAATTTTCAGCATGTGATATCTATAGCCCAAATTTTTCAGGCCGACCACTGATATCAGGTGTGCGTCGGTAGGGGATCGAACCCCGGACCATGTGCATGGTCGGCGAGGGTCCTGACCACTGTGCCCCTGACGCATAAAATTAGTGGACTTGTTTCTTATGAATTGATAATGAAGTGTAACAATGAACCTCTACAGAGAAACCATTTAAATAATGAGATAGCACTTGTGGTTAGACCCACAAGACATGTGATATAGACACAACAAGCATGTTTAAATACCGGCTATTTTCATTTATTTCTTCCTAAGGTCTTATAGTTATAAATCTATTAGTGTTAGTATGGAATATTCAGTAAAGTCAAGTAAAAATTATATCAGAAACTGAAATCTAGTACAGGTACAAAATGGAAAGGTAGTAGGTTTGTTTTGACTGTAATATTGAAATTTTATAAACATAAGGACTATGTTACAGAAGTGATGAATTGTATTTTACACTCATAGAATGTGGTAAATAAAACAGTTTAAAGATCAGTTTTAATAGACTCTCAAAGTATATTTAGAATAGCTACTTAGTAAGTAAAAATAATGGTCATATATGCCTCAATAATTCTCATGAAACATCTAGAAAAGTTGAATGAGTGATGTGATCCCAACTAATCTTGGTTTAGCCAATAAAAGTACTGATATAACTCTACATTAATAGTTAATCAGATTATAAATACTTCCCAAGTTTGTGTCCAGTTTACCTTCCTCCTAATTGCAATATATTTGTTATACAGATGGCCTTACTTTATTCACCGATTTTAGTAACGTCATTTATGGTTTAGTCAAGGTTTTATGTAATAAAAATTCAAACTTTTAAACTAAAAACCGGCTTAAATTAACATACGCCACACAGACAATTTTACTTACACAAAAAATTTTTCTTCAGCAATCGGGCCCGCATAAACCATTTTGTAGTTGCTAAATACTTTTATCCAAGTAGAAATTCCATTCTTACTCCTTGCAATCACCCTCGCTCCATGAGTCTGCACATGAACCCCAAACAAATGTTCCGCCAATGCAAATTCTGCCGTCACAATTATAGATACTGAAGAACAAATACGCCAGGGAGATAGCCAAATAGTATGCTCCTGAGATAACTTTAATCAGGTTAGCAGTAGCAACGGTAACTGAAAATACTTAAAGGTATGAATAAGCAAGACCAGAAACATACTGTTGAATACCGGCATATACCTGTCTAAAAGGACGAAAATGCTCTCACGAGTGTGACTAAAAATTCTGAATTGTAGATATAATACTGGACAGTTGAAAAGGAGATGAAACATAATGAAGCATAAGAGTGCCCAGCCAGAACCCAGGAAATGATCGAGTGGATACTTCGCAAACATAATCATTGACATAGAACATGAAGATATTAGTATTGCGTGTATAAGGTTCCACTGAGACTCTGTAGCTTCTGTGATATTAGGATCTAAATCCATCTCACATTTGAGAAAGTACGATCACTAGGAACGCCGTTTAACTGTGCACAAAATCTGTAGTGAATAACCTTTATGCATTAAAACAAACACCCGAAAATTTGATAGGAATGAAATTCACCTTTCCAAATTTTTTATATTCATTCATCTACATACAAAGATGTAAAATATTTATAGATTTGGCGAAATCGTTCATTGTGGTCTCCTTATTACGTTATTATTTATTATTTAATCAGTAACACTTTGAACGCTATTTACTGTCCATGAAAATGTCACAGCTGCTTGATGAGAAGAAGTTTTGTCCGAAAACTCACACAGCAAATAGTACTCTTCCAAAACTGAATTAGTGACTAGACCAACCTTCCACACATTTGTTGACTTTTCGCCAGTATATGAGGATCTACCGACATAATTTGCATGACATACAACGCTGAAAGACATGCATGATCCACATCACATACACCAAGATATCCTGAGCTGACAATGAATTTAAGTGATGCGAATTCCTGAACATCATATCTGATGTAAATTCCCGAAAATCCCACTAACCGCAATGACAGTGTAAATGATATCAGCAACCGAATGAAACAACATTCAGCTATAATATTATGGCTTAAGAGCTTCTGAGAAAATTGTTTCTGAAGCAAATTAAATAAGTTGGAGGTGCTGAAGTGAGCTGATGAACTTAGGCCCATCTGACATTATGGTCCTTATTATTTCGCTAGATTAGTTAACTTTCTTGACAACCCTTTCTGATGAGGCTGAACTTTCTTTAAATACATCCGAACAAGAGATAACATCATTAGTCACGGTTTTCTTTAGAGGTTCACGGACTGGGTAGTACTGAAACATACAACACTCAATTTGTGCGTCGGTGGCACAGTGGTTAGGACTCTCGCCGACCAAGCGTATGGTCCGGGATTCGATCCCCTGCCCACACACACCCGATATCAATGGTCGACCTGCTTAATTTGGGCTACCGATATCACAGGCTGAAAATTCCATACTTGTATCAAAACTAAGGTGTATAATCAAGCTATAATCAAAACAATTTGTTGTCCAACCAACATTTATTTGAGAACATAGAAGTGGTTTATTTTTTTAAAGATATTAAGAATTCGTTTACACACTAGATCCGAGCACATATCACATTTAGTTAGTGCCAAATAATTTCAAGATAATTCACGTTGTTTTAACCTGATATAAGGAAAACCGTATTATGGGTAGGGGTCTCATTTGGAAAAATTGTGTAGTAAACTTTATTTCTAATGACATAAATCACTGCTATTATGTTGTTTTTACGTGAGCGCCGATCACTGAAGTGCCCAAGAGTTGTTGGTTCCAAAGGCGGAAAATGCTAAGACGGGTGTGCACGGAAAGTATTTCATGCAGCAGACAGCCTTTCGAGATCGAAGAAATCAACGTAACATGTAGGGCCTCAAATAATTTACTCACCTAAAACTCTGGAATGTGAAGGAAGGTGGTGGCAGATAGTTGAAGCGTGATACTATTAGGGTGGTGTTTGCACTATCCAGAGGCTATAAATTCTTGTAATTCTCTATCATTCTAGTCATCGGGGTAAGTCACTGAAAAAATGAAAGTAGAACACTATTTCTTCACCATTTGGTTAGTTTTAATAGGTTGGACATGCGTTTGTAAATAGTCGGGTGATTGTGTGAAAAGGAATTTTCGGTTCGTTAGATATTTGCAGCACTAAATCTGTAATCCACCTCCCACTAAGGAGATTTTAGGGACATGGGAGGTTTGCCTACCACTAAGACTTATCTTCGGCCAACAAGAGTGAAAGAAATTGAATAATAAATAACAATAATAAAATTCAAATACAATTTGGTATTGTCTTATCACGTTGGGTTAGAAAATTATTCGGTTCAAACAACTTTCCGTTGTAACGACAATAGACAAGTGCCAGGCAACAGGTCGCTTAATGAGAAAATCAACATATTTGTGGGTTTTTGTGTACATTATTTATTATTTTCAAAAGAGGAGCAACGTCCTCTGATTGGTTGTTTTCCTGCTGAAGGTTATTCTGTCATCTGGTTGTTGCCGCTTCTGAGACAGTCCGGTCATATATCTGCGAATCGTATCCGCCCACCCTAAGTTTGCTGTGATTGCTTGTTGAGTTCCTCAGGGTTGTACCTTGTTCTTGTTTTTTCTCATGACCCCTGTTTGGGACGTAAACATTGACGTCAATTGTTGTCTAGAATTTTGTCTAGCAGACAGCTCTTGCCACAGGGTATCCATTATCGGACGTTGTCAGCCACGTCTCGTAAACCGTTAATGCCCAGCTCTTGCTACGCTCGGGCTCACGCTGTTCCTTGAAGTTTCTCAGAAACGCTTAGCAATGACGGACGAGAAAACCAAAACACCAGTTGGCGACTCGAGGATTCTTTATTGTAACACCAACATATAAACAATGTTACAACTAAGGTCTGTGAACAAATATTACGATAATGAATCACAGTAAACAAATGGTGTAAGGAGAACTCTCAGTACCTCTGTAATTCGTTTTTCAACTGCATATGTCTTATCTTTCGGGCATTCGTCAACATTAAACCTCAGTGGATTATTTAGCACAGTTTTCATCTTTGCGATGTAATTATCTTTGTTCATCAGCATCATCCCTGAGCCTTTATCAGGTCACAACATAACGATTATGTCAGTGTTTTTGATATCTTGATGCTCCTCAGAAAGGATTTTGGAATATGACGGTGAATTGGAGTATTGGTTTGCGACGCCAACGTTTAAATCTAAGCTGATTGAAGCCTTGTGCTCAGATAAGTCAGCGATTAACAGACCTGTTAATATAGATCAGATTTACCAACTAATAAGGAATAAACCACATGACAAAAATTCCTAATTCCAAGTCAATAGAAATATAAATTCTAAACCAAATACTATAAACGTCAGGAGATACAATTACATCATTCATCGAGAATTCAGATAACTTCATTTCATATTAAATTTTTTTATTCCTTTACGTTCCCAGTGGAATATAGGGCTTCAAGCTAGAGGTTTCAAGTTTCGGTAGTGATAGTATTTATTTTTACGGGATGGGGTTGCCAGCTTCATTCCCAACCTTCCCTTTTTTACCAGTCTTATTATTGGCTTAGTGAGGTAAAGGAGCGTGTCGGCGGGGATCGAACCCCGAACCACATGCATGGTTCGCGAGCATTCTACCTCTGTGCCACCGACGAACTTTCATACTAAAGCTTGTGCTGAAGATGTCCAGACGGATGACGAAATCTTTGCAATTAAATCAACCTGTTCATAGAACACAACTGCTTAAAAATACTGAATTGTGGTACATATGCAGGCAGCACAACTTTAGAAACAACCATTAACATCCTATATTGCTCTTATCATCTTCATCATTCGGCCTGAAGGCAACATCACCTAAACACATTAATCTGAATAATCTCAAGTGTTTGCAAGGATTTGATCAATTGCAAACTGATTTCAGTTTGAAAGCCATTAAAACCCAGGGAGTACTGGACAACCATTTCTTCCTTGTTTGGGACTCTTCGGTAGTAGATCCTCGGTTCGATCCCTGGTAAGATCATGGGTGTGTACTGCTGCGGATCTCAAACCTAGAACAAACTAATCGTAGAGTACTCCCTGATTTTCAATGCTTCTCCAGCTGATGTCAATCCGTGATGGAACTTGAAACTGATCTGATTGGTTAGGTCATTTTTATTTTTCACACAGTGGTAATACAACTTGATCAAAGGTCCAGTATGCGAATCTACATAAGATTTCCTATCAATGTTGTTTTACCTTACAAATAAGTAGTTCTACGTTTTCGTTTTTTTAATAAAAATTACAGATCGCATTAATCATTTTAAGAATAAAGCTTTAGTTTTTTCTTTGAATACTTATTTAGTATTGATCTATGAAGAAACCTTCCCCCCCCCCCCACGTTTATCCATTCTGATTGGAGTTACTCTTTGTAATTTCTACTCATTCTGTTTTTCTGCAGAAAATTGCAGCTGCTCGCATATATAAAACGATAAGTTTAATGGTGTTCATTTTCAGGAAATCTGATAAAAAATACCTTATCCGCCTATTTTGTGCTTCAGTTTAATAATTGCCTAGGTTTATGCACACCTCTGAAGTTAACTGTGCTGCTTTCACGGCTCATGCTCACATCTGTTCCATACCACAGATGGAGGTGTTAGTTTTTGTCGATGAATTCTCAAAAATAAGACATTTAATCTCAATAGTAATCAGTAAGTCACTTCTGAAAACTGCTTAAACAAAATTGGCTTCGTCCTAAAAACAAACAGTGTGACATAGATTTATACCCAGCTGTTAGATTAATGTATCGTAATCTATTTTCCCCTGACCTATTCTTTATTTGATGAATCTCATTCTCTAGTCTGTCTTATTGTTTAATTTGAGACGATTTACAGATGACTTTTTAACAGTTTTATATGTGAGTTAAAGTAAGGCCAACAGCTTGAAAATACAAATATTGTAAAGTTTTGCGGCACAATCTGAGTTGTATAAGAAAAGTGCAAATAACTAGATTGCATGAAGTTGTTACACGTGTTTCAAACTGTATAAAATGAAAGTACAACTCCACATAATTATATAAACACTGTTATAACTGAGGTCTGTGAACAAATATTACAATAATAAATCACAATATCACTTCTGACGGTTTTCTACTGACTTCTTTCTGAACAGCGACCGATGAGACGATGACTGTCGTATTGATGCCTCCGCGAAAATCGGGGAAGTTGGTTTTGAGCAAACAACCATGAATTGATCGTTCAATCTTCAACTACATTGACAGACGTATACCACCAAAGATTCTCAGGACTCTCAGGGGAATCCATAGGCGCTACAGACAACCATTTCGTCACTGACCCCAGTCTCAGAAAGACACTAAAGGTAGACAGATCTACCCAGCCACAACCGTACTTAAAGGATCATGTAAGTGAAGTTGTGATACTTTCAATAGCTAAGGTCGCGTACAGTCG